AATATCCTACAAAGTTCCTGAGTTTTGGAGTTACCCACAAGCGCGTTATTTTCTTCAAGTTGTGACCTCATTTTGTGTTTACCTTCAAGCAGTTTAAGAGTTTCATGTATTTGGTTTAACGCATTAAATTCCTTAAATACATGGTATTTCCTTTTCAATTTCTTTAGTTTTAGTCGCGTTTTGCTGTCTATAAATGGAGTTGGTGTCTTGTTGATGTGATTAGACGATTAGGCAGCAAAGTTGAATGTTCTGTGATTGAGAATCGTAGTCACTGTGTTTCGGATTAATATCACGTGTCTCAATGTTATCACCCTGTGGATATAGCCTTCTCCTCATGGTACATTATGATATCTGGAAATCATAAGCGCACTGTCTTCGGTAAATTTATGTTTACTTTTTACGTGACTGCAAATAGTCAGTCATTTAGGGTGATAGGATATATACCTCTAAACTTTTTCGTGGAAATTAGGATATATTTACTTTTTTCGTCTAGAAGACAATCTTTTTGCCGTGGAAGTTCTCAGAACTTCCACTTTTACTTTGCAATTCAAAGATAAGGTTAATCTGCTCACTAAGATAGTAGCTATTGGAGATTACCTTCAGCGGAAACTATTTTAAGGTGGCTGTAGGTAATGCGTCAAAGAAATAAGCAGCGTACGTTGATTGTGTGTAAGTATATTAAACGTTGTATAACTGGTCAAATCGTAGTTCTTACATACTAGTTAGTCTTATAAATAATGAATGTATCGTACAAGCGTTTACTTTGATTTGCATACCAAGCTCACAAGCATTATATCTGCATGTGGTATACACTTAGGGCTGATATGACGTGTGATGAGTTCGATGAAACACGGTACTATCATGATTAAAGCAAGAAGAACTGGTCAAGCAAGATAGGGTGTCGTCATTATAGTTGTAGTGGACCTAGCAAATAAGTATGTCTATACATACAATTAAAAAGGACAGAACAAATACGGCTGAAATTATCCCGCATGCTCAAGGTCATTGATGGAGTGAGACGCTCAAAGGTCATTTTCGTCCATGTTAGTCGGTTATGTTAGATTGCAGTTCCGTAGCCGTTCGTTTACACATTGGTTTTACGTTCTGTTGGCATTTATAGGTGATTCCCATGCACTGATAGCATTCTTTTGTAAAATAGTACTGTTCTTCACACGAAAATAGCCACATTTTGACGTAGTCTTCATTGAATGACACTATGTCGAAAGCTGCAGCTTCTACAAGAAATAAACTGTTTGTGTAGATGACATTACCCCCCAACTACCCCATCTTCTTCATTGTAGACGCATTCAGCATGAAACACTAATCATTACAACCAATATGCTAAGTGTGTCGCAGTCACATTAAATGACGCGGACACCAACATAACTAGCCAGGAAATGAGAATTCCTATCAATCCAGAAAACATATAACAAAATTTTATTAAAAATTATTGTCAAAAAAATTTGCCGAGCGAAATTTCAACCAACATGCCGGATAAGTCCAGCCAACAAATACTGAAAAATATGCATATTTAAAATATTCAGTTCACTTAAGTTAGTATACACAAAAATAATGAAGTTATTTGAAGAAAAACTGTAATAGTCACAAAATACTCAAATGATAGACGTACGAAAGATTAGGGATGAAATTGTCCTTTTCTTGATTATGCAAATCCTCAACTACACCGTCAGCCGTCGGAGATAACCCACGTAGAGAAAAACAGGTAGGAGCAAAATATCTTAATGTGGATGTGTCGATCAGTGCGAGACAGAGTTGATCGGCAGATGTGCTGAGCGAGCAGCTGGAGAGAGAGAAACAGATCCGTTCGTTTCCCGCGGTCCAAGGTTGAGTCCTTTTCAATCTCACATAACAACCACGATTTTCATTGGATTTCTTGTTTTTCGGTGAACATATACATGTACTGATAGCATTCTTTTGCCAAATAGCACTGTTCTTCACACGAAAATAGCTACATTGATATCCTGAGACGTGAAGTCTTCATTGGATGATGCCATGCCGAAAGCTTCAGCTTCTACATGAAGTAAACGATTTGTGTAAATGACATAACCCTCAAACTATCCCATCTTCCTCATTGTAGCGATATTTTGACACAGTACACCTGAAACACTAATCATTGCAACCAGTATGATAAGAGTGTGCCACAGTCATATCACATGACGCGGACACCAATATAACTAGCCAGGAAATGAGAATTCCCATCAATCCAGAAAACATATAACACAATTTTATTGAAAATAATTGACAAAAAATTTACCGAGCGAAATTGCAACCAACATGCCGGAAAAGTCCAGCCCAGTCCGAAGGTGTACTGCAACCAACAATATGTACAGAAGAGAAAAAATTTATTGTGAAGTTTCATATATATAGCCCACAAAAAGTATAATTTTCGCCACTGCAATGGACTACAACGCTGTAATTAGTGTGGATATGCAATAAAGCCACTCGATGAAATTTGCTAAGTAAATCCGTCTATATATTACGGACTCATCTCATTCGTTGCTCAAGGTTATTACGTCCGTTTTTATGTGATTTCATTGTTTGGTCATATGACTATAAACTTCCACTACTAATCCATCATATGATAGAACACCTTCTGACAAGATAAGTACAGAGAGAAGATAAGGAGAGAGAAACAGTAGTTTTTACTTCATTGTAAGCAGTACCTACACACACAGGCACAAACAAACAAGCATACAGTGGAAAAACCTTACTGACAAAATGACATCGACTGAGACATGCTACGTAATCTACGGTCACTTTCAGTTGATATTGTCTTTCTGATTCAGAACACCTTGAATTAAGCTGATCTGAATTCTTTACACTAGTGTCAAGTCACTCAGTGCTCGCAATGAAGGTAGCAGTTAAGACAGCCCCTTAACGACATCATTAAGTCTGTACTGCGCATCAAATGTGCATCACAATAATAGCTGGTCTAAATAATTCGTTGGTGCTATTTTGTTAACGTTTTTTAAAACAATGAAATCACACAGATAGTTTCTACCAGTGCCACATTAAAAAATACATAACACCTATCCAATGAAATAATTTCCTTATTGGCCACATTAATTCCATCAGTGAGACCGTGAAAGTCGATATTCAGAAGGAAATAGGCATGCCCAGGAAACCTACAACTGAAGTCACATTCCGCGCGGACTGTCAAATGGAATCCGATTAGAAAGTGATAAACTGCACACACGAAATTGAGATTCAGCTGAAGTGAAAATGAAAGCTTACGAGCAGTACCCGAGAGGTCCCGATGTGTTCTCGGAGATTCGGTGCAAAGCAGGTTTTTAATGAATCCAAGTTTTCCTGGCCTTACTCTTTTAAGTGTTTCATGGAGATGATGTTGAGGGTTTCACAAGATATGCTGTCCACCGATGCAAGTTTATTCCTTCCAGTTCCTATAGTATTCATTTTAGTGAGACCAGAGACTGATTGCCTAAATGAGAGATATACTTCGGCATCAGAAACATACAGAGATGCTGGCCGCTTAACTAGCCACAGTGGGCTCATGAAAGACTGGAAGCAACACAACAGGGCGTTAAATGGCGAGGGTGCTTTATTGCGTACCTTTGGCCTTACCGGTCGACTTAAATAGTAGGGACCAGCACTCCATTATGAATGATGAAAAATGTATGCGATTAAATGGAGTGAGTTATTCATCTCAAGAGGTGAAACATTTGTATCGGCAATGAAAGCTGCAATCCTATCATATGTCTTGTTCTCATTGTTTAGTGCACAGATTGCGACTCTGGCTGTGTGCAACACCGAACTTATTCATGATTACCGAATTGATTCGTTGAATTAATTCCTAGAATGAGACGCCCTTAGGGTGATCAACATATTCTAGCACTCTTGTTTTCACCCAAGCTAGTCTCAGATATCTCTGATCGACCACGGTGGACAATGCATCCCTCGCTTCAGGACAACCCACGAGATGTGGAGTTGGACCACTACAGAGTATGTTCACTGTGTTCCTGTGAGGAACCAAAGGTAACGACTTCTATTCCGGCTTCCAAAATATTTAGCTAGGCTGTTGAGCCTGGAAACTACATGAGTGTTCAACACAACTCGAACATTCATTTCTTAGCGATTCGCCGAATGTTTTCACCACGAAGAAGGTAAACCAATACCAATTGAGAAGGCTTATTTAGAAAAATCCCGCGTATATTTTTGAGTATTCACTTTACTCACAAATGGAAGTTTGGAGATCACTACTTGAAGTAATTTCACGACAGGTGCTTTTTCGCCGTTTAAGCACGATCGATTCCAGTCTCAGAGTATGAACATAGGCTGTTAGATGAAAATTAGAACGGATACATGCGCGGCTGACTCCATGCTTATTGGTGACATTTTACTAATATAGAGATGAGGATGTTTATGGCAACATTATCACCATCCAAAATGTGTAGCTTTCTCCTATTTAGTATGCAGTTTTGTGAGAGGCTAGTCCTATCACTGCCGGAGTTCTACGAAGTCAGATTTCTACAATCTTAAGGAATTCACCTGTTGCAGTTATTATATATATGCACATTTGCAAGCGGAAGATGGGCATTTACTTTCTATAATTTATCAGAGTGGCCGTTGAAGTTCACATGCAGAGAAACTAAGAGCAAAATTGGATGATGTATGTGGACAGACAAAAATTAAAAATGAGGCTGCAAATGACTTGTCATTATAACACATCTAAAAGTGCGAGGAATAATCAATCTTAAGCCGAAGTGACTTAAAATAATCTTTGTCTCACACAGTTTTATATGAAATTAACTACTCCTGATAACATTTCAACCCCTTAAGTCGCTAGGTGTACGATTTAATGGCTTAATCTAGAATGACAGTAAACTGCAAGAAGAATGAAACGTAATTTCAAGTTCGTATATAATTTGTGTAAGTATTTATATTTACTCAAAGTAATACGTAAATACACAAATATGAAATAATTCCATTGGATTTTGAATACATACGTCACGAGCGGTTCTCTCCAAGTGGTTGGTCACTTTTTTGTAGAGCGGGCTGTTTATCACTTTCTCCCGTGGTTTACTGTGAGTCGTGAGGGTGTTCAGCACCCTTTGTATGATATGTAATAATTTGACTTAAAGTGCATTTGTTTTGGAATTTTTGGTGGAACTTTTTTGAGTCAGAATCCTAGTTTAATAAGTAGGTACCGTATAACTGAAAATACCGTGGTAATATAGTGTAGCTTCTCTTGTGTGGTTATGTAGAACGTCCTTTTTTGACGCTAATAAATGCCAAATGAAATTTGATTTGGAAGTTTCTAGTTTTATATTAGTTGAAATCTGGGGACTTATCATAGTGTCAAGTTAATGTTAACTGTATTTATCCATTGCTGTATGACTTGGTCATACAGTAGATTTAATTTTCCATGAAGTTTTGAGCGACGTTTTGCAAATATTCGTCTACCTATGGTCTTACTATTCGTTTGATTGTTGCTGTATAAGTACATTGCGACTTCCATTTAAATTATTGTGACACTGGTAATGTGAATTTGAGTAACTTGTTTGTTCATTGTCATTTTGTATCAGCAGAAGTCACACGATAAGCCAGGGAACTATCTGCTTTGTGTCTAATTCTTACCTTATATTTTTCATCTTTCTCGTATTATCAAGTTCTCCGTTGTTTCCTTTGGTAGTTTCAGTGGTCTCGTAGTTCAACTGTAGTTCATATATAGGTATTCTTTGTAAGATACAGTTAATATGTGTGTAACTGCTGAAGCGAAACATACTTTCAACTGGTATTTTAAGCCGCTGGGTTAATGTTAAACCCATAATAAGCAATATTATCTCTTTCCTTGCGATATTTTCTAGTTTATTGACCATGCAAGTTTCTAGTACTTTTCTGCAGTGAAACCTAGTCTTGGGAAAATAGTAGTAGACAGTGGTATCCTAAAAGCAGTATCTAACACATGAATTTACAACGAAGAGCTTCACGTTAGATATTTGTAGGCATTTGCAGGTTTTCATAAGATGTTAGACTGGCTAGTAACAGAACTAAATGTACTATCCATTTTCGGACGGTTGTGTCGTTCTGCTTGTAGATGTACTTTACACTGTGTGATAGGTTTATCCAACAGCGTATATTCAACAGTAAGTGATTTTAGTTGGAGGCCCATTTTCTTCGTCCTATGACATTACTCATGCACTTGTAGAGTGAAGACAACACTCACTGTTAATAAGTCTTTGCCTTACGTAGCCAATGCAGTTCACGTGTTATCGTAGCATAAAATATATTGAGTGCCACTGTTACTAGCATTATGATGCCTAATTGAATTTAAGAGAAAGGGCTTTGAGTTTAGAAACCTACTCTACATTCGATCTGGGCGACGGGATAGTTGTATACCCTCTTTCATTTCATAACAGCCTGTTCATGGAAAACGTGTATTTGGTAGCAGAAAAAAAATGCTGATTGTATCACTTCCAAGTGTAATTGATATCCTAAGAAGTATTTCGAATTGTATAACTAGTGCTAACTAGTACCAAAACAAACAGGTTACTTGTATGTTTGTCCTGTATTACGGGTTCTTTATTAATCATTTTGCATTACAAATGCATGTTTAAATCCATTATGAACATATAATTGGGTTTTTACTCGTTAAGTGTAAACTGAAAGGTTTTTCCGTACCTACCCTTTTCCATGTACTGCGTTGTGTATATTAAAATATTACAATTGTTCTTTTTATTTAGGTGGATAGAAATGAACTTTATGAAGTGGATTACTGGTTCCAGTGAAGATTCTACCAATAATGATCAATTAGATTATTCATTTCTTTTTCCAGTAACTATAGGAGTAGGATCAATCCTCATTTGCCTTGCCGCTCATTACCGAAACGAGTTACCTAGCTTAAGGTTGAAAATGTATCAAAATGCCAAGGATGATAAACAAGCGCCTATACGTCGTGGTAATCCGTATACGAAAGAAAACAAAAAGAAAACCAAACATTCCAACAAACCTGAATCACGTATTTCTGAAGTTCAGGTTCAAAAAACACCTGAAGTTAAAAGGCAGACACCTGTTGTAAATGAAACGAAACCTCCTGTCGTATCCACTGAACAAGCCCAACACACCACTGTCCAGCCTCCTCAAATTCAACAAGAAAATGTAAGCAATACCATCGATAGGATTGAAGCTGAATTCTTTAATCCCGCACCAAAGAAGCCGAAGAAATCCAAGCGTTCATCTAAAACCAAAGATAATGATGGTCATGGTTTACGTGAACAGGCTGAAGTCGATCCAGCGTGGGTTACAGTTACCTCTAAAAAAGTGAAACTCTCCAGTCGAAGTTCCCAAAATAAGACAAAGAGTGTAGAGAGTGAAGGTAAAATTTATCGTATGTAACTTAGTTCAAATCTGTCTTACGTCATATTTTTAATAACTCAGGAATTCGGGATGTTTGAAATTTTACACATATGTTTGTATAATTTGCACAAACTCAGAGATGGCAGCATGCTATGGGGTAATGGGTGTGTTAATATCTCTTTCTACTGAGGGACAATTTCTAGGATGGTAAGGTCAGTCTTGTCAGGATAGTATTTAAAATCCCTTCATTAGTCTGCTGTTTCAAAAATACCACTTGTTTGATCTTGAGCGCAGCTTAAGATCTCAGCTCGTGCGTTATGTGGACAAAACATCTGTTAGACTTCCTGATATTTTTTTTGGCATGATACACCTCTTCTGTACTAACTTGTGTCAGTACATGACTTGATGAGTTCTAAACACAACTTGTGCTAGTGGATAACACTATTCTTAAATGTTCGAAGAAATGGTTGGAATTTTTTTGGAGGGGGTGTATTCCAACTTGTCTATAGCTACACAACTGCTCACCTCCCAACCCTAACCTGAATATGATGTGGGCATCTATCGTCTAACTGAAGCTGAGGTTGCAAGAGCTCTCCGTATTCCAAATTGAAGCAAAATAGTAGGGTCTGGTGACAACTCCAGAGGTGTTTCAATGTAAGGATGATTTATTGGCTAGACCGACTAATATTTTAGCTAGTATATGGGTTTCTGAAATAATTTCAACTCACTTGTGCAGAACACTTACCAATGCAGTTTACACAAAAGAAGATAAATGTCCCCATGTTTACCACCTCATTTGATTTCATCAGTCGTTAATTGCTGTGACAGTGTCTAGCTGTAGAAGGAGTGCGAATAAAGTATGTTTTGCTAATCAAGGCACTTATGCAGCCGTGTAAGAGATCATGAGGAGTTTGAAATAAAGACCAGTGATGTTTTTCTGAAGTGTCCAATGTCATCGATTATATTTAATTTTACTATGGATGGAAATGACACTGCTCGACTGTGACGTGTCAGGGACTGATCTGTTATCAACAAAATCTCTTCGATATAGGGTATACAGATGGTATTATTCTTCTATGTGAAGATTCTGACAAGACACAGAGTCTTCTGAACACCTTGAGCAGAAATCTCGGCATGTTTGGTTTGCGATTTGCCCCTGTCAAAGGTAAGATGATGCTACAATACCAGCTGGCACTTGCCCGTAGCTCAAGGATATGGAATGAAATGGTTGGGCGCATTGACCATTTCACATATTTGGGAACTGATCGCTGGTGAAATCCCACCACTAGTACGAAAGTCTCGTTTGGTATTCGCTGACTTGCATCCGACTGTCCATCGATGGAGGTGCATACGAGGCAGCAGTTCATTCAGTAAAAGACAGTTGTTGCAGAGTCCAACAATCTATAACTGTATATGTCTATGTTTAGTTTCCAATGTTAACTGATGTACTATAATGAGTAATAGTACGGTTCGGCGTCGGGTTAATTAATGAGGTAAAGTCAAATGATGAGGGTATCAAACTCTACCGATTGAAATGACTAGCAAATGCGTCACGTACCTAGCCACCTCCTTCCTCGATTAATAACGTTGAAAGGTACAGAAATCCATAAGGCCTTTAACTATTGATTTGAGCTTTATAGGGAGATGCAGATTGTCCGGCTAAGGTCCTCGTAAAGATGGGAATCAATGGCTAGAGACTAGTGGTGACATGGCTCAAAATTGTTTTCATTGACTTAGATGCATTCATCCGTCGTATTATTCCAGATTCATTACCCCCTTCCCGTTATTTTTGGTGTGATTAACCTTTCTGCTGCATATATCCGTTTGTTGTATTTTAGTCATATTTCTTTCCTCCACCTTTTTGTATGCTATATGAGGTGTGAAAACTTGAACGACTACAGTTTTCTTGCGGAGTTTTATGTTGAAAGTTCAAACAGTCAGTCAAATCCCCACGGAAATGCATTGTACATAATCGTTACTTAGTCTAGGAATGATTAATTAAGTGACTACACCCGGGTATTCCCTTTTCATAGTGAAAAACAAAATTATTTGTTAGTACAAGAGTTAAAGTTTTGACTAATGACTCTCGTTATATGGAAGTCAAAACCGTAGAATGCTGTTTGTAAAGAGACATGAGAAGATGGAATTACTATTTCAAAAAAATTACATACTATCCACAGGAAAAAAGGTTGGACGCAATGTCTAAGGATAACTCATGTGTAATTCCCATCCAAGCATTAATGAAAACAAAACACGTAGATCAGCGAAGAGTCTCTTTTCGGCGAATTCATTTTCTTAGCTGTACAATCGCAAACATATATGTGTTATTTTGTATGTATGTGTACATTAAGTTAGTCAAACAAAAATACAATTGGTTATAGTTATTTAAACTAAACAGGTGAAGATTGGTAATTGGAGTTACGTAATACAAAATCAGTCAAGAAAATTAGGTGTTAGTGAAATTAGGGTAGTAACAAAGGTGATGAGTTTTCAGTTGTTAAAAGAAGTTATGTAATAATATGAATAGTTTGATGAGTGAGTTTTACTCAGGATGCACATAGGAACAAAGTAGATAATACGAAATTACGTAAGAGTTCTAAATGAATACAAGAATCTTTTAACAACTGTTTGTGACAACTCATCACCTTTGTTACTACCCTAATTTCACTAGCACCTAATTTTCTTGACTGATTTTGTATTACGTAACTCCAATTACCAATCTTCACCTGTTTAGTTTAAATAACTATAACCAATTGTATTTTTGTTTGACTAACTTAATGTACACATACATACAAAATAACACATATATGTTTGCGATTGTACAGCTAAGAAAATGAATTCGCCGAAAAGAGACTCTTCACTGATCTACGTGTTTTGTTTTCATTAATGTCTAAGGATAAGGCAAAAAACGAGCGATCAACACACAACCCCGTATATATCACAAACATTGACTAATTCTGGAAGAAGTGAACAGGAATAAAGTGATATCAGGATTAAACTAAAAGGTCATGGATAAGAAAAACTTAATAAGGGTTATTTTAGATGTTGATTGCTTTGAAAATGCTAAGCAGTTAAAGACAAGATAACAACTGGCTAAGGCTGAACCTTTATAACTTGTTTCATCCTTACATAGTGTTTTTCTGCAAATCAATTTAGATAGTATTGTGTTTTCCCTTCAAAAAGTATCTTCATCATATTAAAAAAAGCTTTTTTCTTCACATAGCATCAGGGGATCAATCAGTTTCGGAGAGTCAATCACCATCGGACTCAGTAAATGAATCACCTATTCAGCATAAACAAGGAGATTTTAAGCAACAAGAATCTCCTGTCAATAGTAAGGATAAGGTAGGTTCTGTAGATTTACTTATGACTTTGTTGTGTACTTTTGGAAGATTATTTGAGTGCCTTTTAACTAAGATTATTTCAAAAGTGGATGGTAGTGTATGAGACATTTGACTCATGAATACGCGTTTGGTTGATGAGTTGTGAAATATGTCTAGTGTTTGTGATCGTTGGTATTATATGGTTGGACGCAATCGGCAGGAAGCCTTGGGCATAGGTTTCGTGCTATTTGGCGCTGATCAGCAAGGCGTATCTGCAACCTTGAAGGAAGTCATATCCCTTCTGAGATTCGAACCCACGTCATCCAGTGCTGCAGTCAGAGACGTTACCACTGAGGTATTCAGGCTCGCGATTGACCTCTTGTAGGACTGTATAGGATACTTTGATTGAACACTAGTCACTGACTAGTGCATAATGTGTCCAGTCTCATCTTTGGTGCAGACTGGATTCTATCAGTGAAGTTTGCAAAGTGGTCACCATGCTAGGTGGCTCCCCATCACGGTACACTGAATGGTTGGTATTATATGGTTGGAGGCAGTCGGCAGGGAGCCTTGGACCTAGGTTTCGTGCTAGTTGGCACTCATGGTGGCCACATTGGAAACTTGACTGATAGAATTCAGTCTGCACCAAAGATAGGACTAGACACCTAACGCACTAGTCAGTGACTAGTGTCCAATCGAACTTCACTAGATCGTTTGTAGCTACTGCTCACATAAACATTTTAAGATGAATTTATCAAGAATTTTATTTGTATACTGCAATTTTTACGGGCGTACGTGTGCTACAAAAATGAGGTTTATAGGAATGTATTCTCGCCTACACATTAGTTCTTAGTTTTGTAAACTTAATTGGATTACAGTTGACACTTGTTTTCAGAAGGTTCAATAAAGCGCCTATGCACGAGTGTAAATTTCCTAGTGTACATTTTTCTTTAGAAAAAGAGTTGACTTTTCTCCCGTGTCATAAGCGTGAGAAAGTGGGTACCCGTATTATTACTATTATTCATGTGTGTATGCACAATTGCAATGTTATTTTGTATGCTCTTTTTGTATCATCTTGACATTGTATAAATCCCTTTTACAACCAAAGAAAAAAAGAAAAATTATGCAGTACAACCCACCCGCATTTCTAACTGCATTTTTGTAAACTATCTGATTGTTTGATATATAAGAGAGAATTCTGGGTTTGTTTGTGTATGTAAAAGTTTCGGGTGTATTACACGCGTTGTGTAATATGTGTAGCCCAAATAATTCAGACGAAATGGACTTTGGTCGATTAGATATGAAAATAGCTTGCTTTCCATTTATATTAATGCATATATTCTATAAAGGTCTCAGTATACATAAGAATTACAATATCTTCAGATCATGAGAATCAATCACTGTATGCATAATCAGATGATTAGTGTGTTGGAATTGTTTTCGTAATTATCAGGCATAGTTTTACTGACGTTTGAAAGTGCAAGCAGGACCACAAGTTGGTCACCTGTGTTATTTATTACTTTGAACTCAAATAATTAGCAATTTTTCAGTTAGTCAAATTTCTTGTGACATACCTGAACGGAAATATCTTGTAAGTTGCTAAAGAAACCTGTGTAAAAAGAAAAGCCACTGTTAAATTAGACTAGTTTGAGGAGGTTATTAGCATAATATACATCTCATAACAAGTTAGATAATAAGGATACACAGTGATTCTAAAACAGGGTTATGCAATATATTATTTCAGTTAAATGTTTAATGAATTCTTCTTGAATTGTAATCATTCAGTGTATACTTACCTGAGGATATGGTGCACAACATTTCACGTAAGCTTATTGTTGAAGAGATGTCTCTACAAGAGAAATGCTAGGAATAGTAAACGTTTGTAACTATAGAATTTCAGCTGAAAAGATGACTTATGAGCTTTTCGTGTATTTAACGTCTATCGTTTGCCATATCCCTTGACAATTCTCTCATTCACCTACCTGGTAGAGTCAAGGGATCAATAACTCTTTCTATGTACTGACTTCGCTTCGTCGTGTTACAAAACTCAAACTAATTCAAATGTAGTCAGCATATCATTATGTCTTAACCACGTGAAATAGTGATTTACCAAATGTACGATTTGAATTGAATTCTTCTTAATTCTCTCTGTTTATCCAGCCCTTGTTACTACTACTACTCATACACCTATCCCAGAATATGTTAACGATGTCAGTCGTAGTATGCCTAGTCATCACCTTCCTCGACTGGCAATGTTAGCTGATATAGGGTCAGGATGGAAAAGAGCTAGCGGCGATCAAACCAAAACATGGCACCAGTCAATGAGATCTACAACAGTTAGTCTAGGCCACGTAGGAAGGTGTAGACTTCCTGGTCGGGGTCTCGGGACAGTAAAAACCAATGATTGGAAACAATTGGTGACATGGCTCAAAATCGTCCTCAATGGTGCAGATGCATCCACTCCTTGTGACTTATGATTTCCAATGAAACTGTTTTGTTCTTCGTTATTACTATTCCTCTGTTTATAGTCTCTGTTTTGCATTTCTCCTGCTTTCTTCTCTTGCTTTGTGTGCTACATGGAGTGTGGCAACTTGAACTGCTGCACATCTGTGTAAAGTTCTATTTCGAAAACAGACAGTCAGACAGCGATGTCAGTATGCTTTCACAAACCCACTATTATTAAGATCTTAAAAAGTTAATATGATAGACACCATTATTCTGACAAATAAAACTTAGAAGGGAATAAAACTTAATATGTTGTCCATAGACTTAAAAGTCTGTTTTAAAACATTGTGCTCACCTTATCTATTAAACTATTCAGGAAGTTATTTACAGTCCCTCTTCGTTTTAAAGACAGTAAAAGTTGAATAAATAAAAGCCATGTTAACCACTGAAAAGAAATAATCTCTACTGATTTTGGGTTATTTGGGAATTTCGGTTAGCTTTCAGCGTAGATTTCGTCTCGTACTGATAGCAATTAGAGGGAATCATTAAAAACCAAGAAGCTGTTTCGTCCTAGTTCGCGGCTTACTACCAGTGTCGTTGGTTGGTTATTCCACTGTATCGTCAACTGACAGAAATTATAATTCACTGATCATTTAACTCTGGCCAGGTGGTTGAATGATTGACACAATCGCCTCATAACCTGAAAGCCCTGGACGCGAGTTCTGCTGATGAATCACATGTTTTGACGAGGCGACTGCTGTCAGTACGGAATGAAGTTTACGCTAAAATAATCTCTTGTTGACCTAATTCAAACTGAAGCAGATAAGTTTTGGTTAGATAATGGGAAAGGTAAAGTCAGAAATATGATATTTCTAGTTTTTTTTGCAAGACAAAATGTATGGATATAATTAGGCTTGTGCGACAACGATAACAATGGTGAATAATGTGATCTCCTAGGAACACATGAATTAGTTAATGATGTCCAATCAATCTGTGTGTGTGTCTCCTGATGTGAGTGATTTGTTTGTATCACAGGCTATTATGATCCGTAGATAAGCGAATTGATTAATTCCTAATATTTCTTATCTTTATACGTGGTCAACATTTCATACAAATGTATCGCTACAGCGGAACTTTCTATTTAAAAAATGACAGATTGATCCGTTACTTGTTGAAGCTCTGAATGAGGATTATTATATCTGAATTCTTTTATTGTCTGTTGAGATATGGTTTATTGGCTTAAACACTCGACTTAAAGTCAGCGAGTTCCGGTTCGAAGTCCCACCCCAGTTACAGTGATCCTGCATAATTTAGAAATGTCATTGGCTTTTTTGTAGAATAACATGAATTTGTTTGTTAAAGTTAACGAAATCGTTTAGTTGTAGCCACTAATTCCGTTGAGAAATAACTGAAGATACTTTCCTGTTCATTGAGTTTTTCTTCGTCACCCTAAGGGTACATTTCATTGTTTACGGACACATTACTTATTGTCATTCATGAATTTGTTTCTTTAAATTTTTTTTATTAGCCTACGAAATTAGAATCCAGTGTAAAAACTACAAATTCTCCTAAACAAGAGAAAGTCACCACCCCATCTGAACGCGGCGAACATGTTAAAGTCGCCGTTGCGAGTCCAAATCCTACAACATCCTATGAAGAATTACTATTAAAGAATCTCGGTGCAGAGACTGTAACCGCTATCCGTTCTCTCATTCTTAATAGTGAGAGTCATATACCTCGTTCTCCTGAAGCTCATTCCTCTCCTGCTCCTGCGAACAATACTGAATTAAACAAACAAGTGAGTTTAAAAAAATGAAAATCTAATAGATATAACCAGGTGTAAACCTGTTAACATATCGGTTAGTAATTAGATAAATGATTGGGTAGACAATGCATTATATTGCAAATTCTCAGAAGTTAAGACACGTGAGCCATTTGATTCTGTCCTAGTGTAAATGGTCATTAGGTTGGTCTTTTCGCCCGAAGGTCTTAGGTTCGATGGTTGAAAGGGTTCCAAAACAGAATCCAGTACTCCTTGATTTTCGGTAGTCCTCTAACCAATGTTGATTTCTGATCTAACTAGACATAATGGCACTTTGTTCATGTCTCCTTCATTTTCATTTAAATGCTGCTGACAAAGTCTTCGTTGAACATCTTTGGCGTAGAATCAACTAAATATAAGGGGAACAGGTCAAGACGTTTTCTTCTAGCGGTTAACTTCTAGTAGAAGTGGTGATCTGCTGCTTATATGATCTTTGATCGTATATGAATCGTGTCTGATACATTAACGACCGTATATTTTTTATTCTAGACCTAAATGCAAGTAGAGTGTAAGGGAGTGTTCACAATCATCAAAAACCTCCCCGGCCAACTCACTCCTTTGCCTCGCTAAGCCAGTGGTAAGACTGGTAAAGAGGGGAGGTTGGGCATGAGGCTAGCAAACCCATCCCGTAAAAATAGACATCTCACTGCTATTGAAGTTTCGAAGTTCCAGCTTGAAGCCCTATGTTCCACTTGGAACGTAAAGGAAAAAAAGTCATATAGTAGTTAGTAATGTCCTCAGTTTTATAAACGCTGATAGGTTAGAGCCTTTATTTATAGGTGAGAAGAAAATTTTCTAAATGATTGATTCACAATCTCACGTGCTTACCTACTTCATAATTTTCCCCCAGTGGCGTGTATTTGAAAGCTTTACCATAGAAGGGATATAGAGTGTAAAGATGGATTGTTCCAAGTCTGATATTATTTGGTTTTAATCTTTTGACTTGTATTGTGAAAGCAGTTTTTCTGAATTATATTCACATGCCGTTATTAATTTTGATTTTTTTTTATATATGTCATTCTCTTTTTATTTATGTGCGCAGAAAACATCACCTGTACAGTCAAAGGAATCTAATCAGACGCCTAAAAAGAATGACCTCATCTCACAGCATACGGCAGCACAACTACAAGCCAGAGAAGCTGAATGTCAGGTATGGGCTAGGTTGTGTTCTCTATTTTCACGTCTCACTTTTTTCCATTCCTTTGCATTGCGAGTGGAATGTATAGCTTGAAGCTTTGAGCTTAGAGCGTTGGTGTATTTGTCTTCAGTGGAGTTGCTAGCCCCACGCCCAACTTTTCCTTTTTAACCGGGCTTACAACAAACTAGGCGAGATTTATGAGTGTGTGTCGACCGGGGATCGAACCCCGACAATGTGCGTGGCTGATGCGTATTCTGCCATTGAACCATAGACGTCATCTCATACGCATTGGACAGTTTTAATTTGTTATCCAAATATATGCATGGACTCGTCATTAAATGAATCTTGATCTCAAGGATACTGCAAATACAACATCACGGTTACACTGTTACATGAACATTATTGTATCTCGTAGGATTATTCATGTTAAAGTATAGAAATATGTGTAGGTTTTACTGTTTGTTGGCTGTATTTTGTTCTTCTTCTTATTATTATTGTTCCCGCAGTTTTCATCTAAGAATTAAATTATATTATAGCCATTGTTGTGTTTCAAAACGTAAATTACATGAGATAGAGTTGCAGATCTTAAAAAAATTTCAATGTAATGTTAGTGAATTGGCACACATTTACCATAAAGTTGTCGTCATATATAAAATATGTCCTGCATGCTATGGTTCATCGGTCTAAGCTGTCAACTTTCTACCAGTGGGTCAAAAGTTCGAACCCTGACCCACCTACTGAGGTTTGGGCAGCCAAGTAGTATGACCAGCCATCAAGCAATAGGTGTGGTTCATTGCTAACAGCATAGAATTGCAAGTGGTTGTTGGGTAAGGTTTCATCTTTTCTTTGTTTCAACAACATGCTCTTAACTTTGTTGTGTATGGAGACTAGTAACAGTGCTAACAGTACTTGAGGAGTGTGGTCCAACTACACAACACACCCTAGGAATATGACTGGCGAAGGCTTGTTGATAATGTATCTGAAAGTTAGTCGACATATTAATTGAAAATAGGCTTCCATTGCTGATAAAACATATTATAGGTAAGTATATTCAACTATAGTTGCCTGTTATTTGCTATAAATATGAATAGTTAGCGGTTAGCTGTTTAACCACTCTTGTTGAAGTAAAGTAGGATGTCTGTAACGTGTAACAAGAAGTATTGGTTGTTCTGTAGAGACCTTTAAGGATTCTATCGAGCTAATCCAGATCTTTGTTATTCCACTTAAGAAAGAAAATTCTATTTTACTACAACAGTTCTAAATTTTTCACCTCTGTACATACATCAGATGTTTAACTGGAATTGAGGAACTGAAAGAGGCAGGTTATGTGTCGAACAGAGCTTTATCTTTCTTCGGTTTATGAAGTGAAGTGTTTTTTGAAATTTTAGATCCAAAGACTAGTTCTGAAAAGGGTATCAAATAAGTTAATGGACGTTGTTCACTTGATTTCATAGAATCATTTAGCAGATTATGGAGAAGTAGTTGTGTCAATGAAGGTAAATGGACTAACCTTTGGCTTGTTTATTGTTAGCTTGCTGCGTATAGAGCATCCAGTTGATATAGCGTACCCAAGCAACAGTGGATTTGGACTCAATACGTCTGAGCACTTCAGTCTACGAGTTCGAAATTCATTTTATTTGTCAAGATTTAGGTCGTTAAATGACAACACTAGTTTTTATGCATTAGATGCACAGTACATTGATCCATGCTATCATACTTTGTAGAAGACAAAGTGTAATAATGTGAATTTAGTCATAGTACAATAGACAAACATAGGAATGGTACAAAGTCTTATTAATATTGCCAGAAGGGAATGCGCCTGTGCCATTGAGGACCATCAGTCTCCAATCATTGGTTCTTATCATCTCGACGATCCTAGCCAGTTAGTTTCCCATCTGCTTACGCGGCTCAAACCGAGTCATAGGCTTTACGGTTCGATTCTATGTTTTGATTTCTCCATCCTTATCTTTTTTCAACCTTAATGTATTTCAGCTAACATTACTAGTCAAGAATGGTAGGGGGTGAATATGCGCAAAAGACATTCGAACTACCTTACCTGATAAAGATTTGCATTTTTAACGATATACCTGCTTTTCTCACTTGATGAAATGCACAAATTTAAGTGTAATTACTGAGTTTTTTCTACTCAGGAAGCGAAAATGCTGGGAAAATATAGAGTATTCGAAGTTAATTGGTGGATGGTGACTAGTAGTGGACTCGTTAACTGGGTATGCCTGCATTCCGCAGTGAGTGATGATGTTCCCCCCGAGTTAAATAAAATATTCTATCCTGGCCAACAACGACAGCAACAACAACAGCATAAATGAGAGGAATCTGAAAGGAGGAACCTCCTTTATCTACCTGGGAAGCATCGTTTCAACTACAGTCGGATGGAACTGATGAGGATATCAAAGCGAGGACCGGGAAAGCAAGGTAAGCTTTCAGTACTCTCAAGTCTGTGTGGAAATAAGCAGCAATCAGCAGGAAAATGAAAATAAGATGCGGATTTTCAACTCCTATGTTAAGTTAGTGCTACTTTATGGATCAGATCACGAAGGGCACTTCGAACAAACTACAGGCTTTCATCAACAGCTGTCTTCACTCAACACTACTCAGGATCAGATGGTCAGAAAAGATCAGCGGCAGGGATGTCTGGGAGCGAACCAACCAGGAATCGATTGTGCAACAAATATGCAGGAAGAAATGGAGGTGGAAAACCATCAAGTTACATCACACAACAGGCCATCGGTCGAGTGGAGCCCAAACGGGAAGCGGCGATTTGGTTGTCAGTGCGGGAGTGACATGGAGGAGGTGATGTGAAGAGGAGATGAAAGCATGTGGGTAGACGTGAAGCTAGGTGAAGACGTTGGCGGATAACCGAACGCATTGGAGAGGCGCGGGTGAAGCCGTATGTTCCTCTAGAAGGAAGGAACTAAAGGAGATAATAATAATAGACTTTTCTAGTGATAATTAGCGTATGTTTAACATGTTCTACGTATCTGTAGGAAAAATGTAATGTACCAGACCAACTCTTAGCTTTAGAATATTAAGTAAAGTGATTAAATGTGCTACTGCCATCTCACAATGATTACTAAAGTGTGGGTTAGCACATGTGCTCCATATATCCTTACCAGTCATACTGGTGAACAGAGTTACTCATTGTCATCTTTGGAATTTCTAAAAGTGTTGACAAACTTACATTCACGTGCTTTCCTCTCTGATATCTTTCCTTCTTTGGAATACTGCTTTACATTTGTTCATTTTCTTTGTGTTTTTGCTGTATTAAAAGGTAGCAACTTGAATGAATGTATTGTTGTCCACTTTTTTGCATTGTTCAGTATTCTGTGATTATTATGACCAACTAAAGAAGATCCTAACCAATAAGTGTATTCTATGTTATTTTCTCAATATTTCTTTGTGTTTTTTTTTATTTCAAGATCCTACGCACAGAAGTTGTGCATCTTAGAGAAGAAGTGACAATGCTGAAATCACTGGCTATTAACCATGTTCCTATTAAGAAGCCAATGAATGATGCTGAAACCATGACTGATGTAATGTGAGTTTACTATATTTCGTTGACTTCCTGTAATTGTGATCTTCAAATTATGATTATTATTACTGTTTTTCGAGGCCCGGGGTTCGATCCCCGGTCGATGCACTCCTTTACCTCGCTAAGCCAGAAATAATGCTGGTGAAGAGGAAAGGTTGGGCATGAGGCCAGCAACCCCATCCTGTAAAATAAACACTGCTAGAGAAACTTCAAGCCCCCTTTGTTCCACTGGGGAACGTGAAAGAAAAAAAATTACTGTTCTTCCCTTGGTTTCAGACTGGAATATAGGGCTTCAGCAGCATATCTCCAGTTCATCCTGTTCTCTACAGTTCACGACTACTCATAAGCTTTCATCTCCTCACAGGATCTCTTCCATTTCACCCTCGAATGCCTAACTTGTCGTCGTCCAGTCAGGTTCCACTCGACGGCCTGACTACATGATGTCACTCAGAGGTCTCCTCAGCATATGTCCTATCCATCTCCACTTTCTTCAGCATATTTACTGAATAATAGGAGCTTGTTTGATTTGTTGTCAGAGTTTCTTGTCGCTTCTCATTTCTGACTTGCCATCTGGTGGTCTTCAGTATAGAGCAAAGGCAGTTGTTGATGAAAGTCTTCAGCAGAAACCTGTTGGAAATGCTGTTGGTAACACCCTCCAAGTCTCCGAATCATGTTGGAGAAATTAGCAGTGCTAACTATTATTGACCTTTTTACAGTTGATAGCTATAGTGATTAACAACTATTTGAAAAGGCCGTAATTGGTTTCAATTGAATATTGGCACACTTTTCTCAATGCCAATCAGCAGACACTTGTCATCTTACCCAATATTCATCGAAAGTGCATATATGTTAGGAAATTCATCTTAGTGATAAATGAGAACTAGTCAGTAAAAAATACTTCTTATTATTTTTTTGTTGCTTTCTATTGTCTCTCGTTGTTTCCTCTTGATTTTTTAATTCTTTATTTTCTTTCTTAATTATTTTTCAAAGGGATCAAACAAAGATGTCATCGAACGATCCAGATGCAGTACTGCTGTCTACTCTTCAGGCAGAAATCGCTCGTTTAGCCAAAGAAGTAGTGATATATCAACAACGTAGTGAAGTAAGTTCATACTTGTTGAGTTGACTTCAGCAACTGGATTAGCCAAAGATACCTTCTTTTAGTAATATTTGTCAACCACAAACAATATTTGAACACATAGTCGAGAGATTTTCACCGCTCTGAAATATTTCGTCTTCGTACAGGATTTACAAGTAAAGCAATAATATGATGTCATGTGACATAGTGTTGTTGCATATGAAGGGAGAACCAATTATGTACACTTTTTTCTATACTTCATTTCCTTCAAGAATTGCTCAGCGTTTCTATGAAAGCTATTTAAATATTTACGCGAGTTTATTTCTGTGATCATTTGATTTGATTACATGGTCAAAACAGTAAGAAATGTTGAAGAGTTTAGGCATTTTAGTGGGTGGAAACTATGGGAACCCGGTGATTTAGACAGGCCGCCGGTGTTTTCTTTTGTTCGACATCTATGTTCTGCAAACAAATCACGTCTTCACAGAATCTGACTTGCTAGCCATCTAACGTAATATTGGAGCTGTAGGTTATTAGTTTAGGGCATTTGTTCAAATCTCGCTCCACCTACCGACGATTAGTCAGTCAGATGTAGGGTTACCAATGCGCTTACCCTAGATGTGTTTAATTGTTAAATGGATATAAATGCATGGAGTTGTTGGCTCACATTTTGTGTAATGTAAGTTATTGTTAGTGAAAAACATCAACTTGGCAAATTATGAGCACCTGAGATGCGACAAACACAATATCTCATAGTTTGTGCGAGTGCTAGGATACTACATGAACGCTCAAATCGTAGCAGATGGTTGTTTTAAGGGGCCACTCAAAACCCATTAACTTGTGTAGTCTAATCCACAAGGCAGTTGAACAGCGTCGGCAGCTGCACTCCTGTGGATCCCTGAGACCAGAACAGGTTCATACGCCATTCGATCCCTTCGGATTCTAGAATGCCTGTACGCCATAGGTATAGAATCAAGGTTTTCCAGCTCCCTTACGTAGACCAGCATGTCCGCCAGTGCGTTTATAAGCGTCAGATGTTCGCATTCTCCTTTTCATTACTGTGAGGAACATCCCCGCCGCGTGAAGGCAGTGGATAGGATTTATCTAGTAGTGGCTATTAACGCGTGGCTATATGAGGGCATTTCGAGAGGAAGACCGAAATCCACCTACCGTCGACCGTACCAGGTCGTTGGTGGGAGGATGTAGTGTAAGGCAGTTGTGTTAATTCCATTATAGAATAATTTTACTTTATACAAAAAAGTTAGTATATAGTTAGTATTTACTGATAACGTTTAGAACAAAATTTACTGTTCACATAATTAAATCAAGGCATTCATGGCACTTCCAAACTTTGTTCATGCAATTCCATTGTGTCCTAATTGTCTTGTTGATTTTATTGCTAGTAATTTCTTTCGTCTCTGATATCGGCGTTGCGTCATTGCTGTTGGACGTGTTTAGTGTAGGTTTGATGAACGGAGTTTCAGTGATCAACTTCTTTTTCACTTACTTATATTACTTTTTAGAACTTTAACTCTGTCCTATTGTATTGTGTGGTGATTGTGTGTCAATCCACGCACTGTGGTCGCTGAGTTTTTCTTTAAGCTGTTCATCTTTTTTGGGGATTATTCATTCTACACTTAGCTGATTTCCTTGACCTACCGGTCTGACTTTTGTATTTGGCTGTGCACAGTCATTAGAGAATGTATTTTGTAGATTAAATTATTATATCTAATTAGATCAATAGGATCCTTTTGGTCTACAAAGCCTATCTCCGAGGAATGAGTTCCACTTATATTGATATACACATGTTTCTTCTACCAAATTGAATTGATAGAATTTGAAGACTCGCCTGGATGCAGCCAATAAAAAGTTATCCGATTCAAAATCTAAATCCGTCGATGAAGCAAAACTATTACAGCAATCATTGGATTCACAAACTGAGAAACTGCATGAAGTAGAGACTGAGAACAAGCGTTTAGAAAAAGAATTGAATGATGCTCTACAGAAAGCTGAAGTACATCGTCGAAAATTAGAGGTTTGTTAACTTTTCACTACTATTATCATTATTATTATTTCGTGTGCATTAAATGAAATACACCCCCTTTATCAAATTGAATTAATCAAAGCATTTGTCAATGCAGGATGTAAGGCAGCATGAGAGCATCTTTATTTGTTCTAACAATATAGTGGTGCTAAGAGCATATCTGACCAGCTGGATAATTGATGAAATAATTCTTGGCGTCAAGAGTATTACACCCCTAGAACAACGTCACTTGCTCAAGTTTTTGAAGGAAGTGAGTAAGAAATCCTGTTAGTTTGTGGTTTGGATAGATGAATTCGTCTCTCTGAACACTGAGTCAAACCGGATACATAACTGGTGAAGTCTGTTTCAAAGAAGCGGAACAGCTGTCCAGTATTAAGAGCACTTCAATCTGGGTAGAAAGCACTACTACTAGTTGATGTGTGCAGTATCCAACTTTTCATATGAGTCAATCAGTTGTAGCATGTATATAGCACACATGCATTTATGCTTCCTATCTTGATTGACGTTTATTGTATCAAGTAGATCAGGTGTATTGGGACCCGAATATAATTTCGGTTTCCAAAGAAAACTATGGTGAAATTTGACCTCCTACAGAACTGTGTGAATTGCCACTATTCGCGTATTACCTTACAGATTGCAAATTTCATTGAATTCTTGTTTTCTAAACCATCACCATCGGAGAGGTTGCAATGGTTTTGATCGCTTACTTGGCTACTGGATAGTTATCCAGTCGATACTTCTAGTTCTGGTTGCCGTAAAGTCGCTTTCTATCAGTTGTAGTGTAGTTAATGTGAGTAACACTGCGTCGATGCAGTGCACGATCATATGGTTGTTATTATAATTGTTGTTATTCCCTCGAGTTTCGAGTGCTATATAGAGGGGGGGGGGCTTCATCAGCAAATCTCCACTTCATTCTATCCTTCGCAGTTATCTTTAGCTGGCTCCGGAATTGCCCATAAGCTTTCGATTCCTCTTCACATGATTGTGCCTATGTCACCCTCTCACACATAACTCTCCGTTTCTCGTCTGGGTTGACCTGGAGAGCCTCCTAACTACGCAATGTCGTTCGACAACCTTCTGAGCTCATGCCTAATTCATCTCCATTTCCTTCGGCACATTTGTTAGGCAATCAGTTTTCGGATGTTTCGTTTCTGGAGTTCTTTATTATTTATCCTTTCTAACGGGCCATCTGGTCTTCAGTCTAGAGCGAAGGCGGTTGTTGATGAAAGTCTGCAGCAAGCAGTCTGTTGGAAATGCGTGCACGAAGTCTCTGAACCATACAAAAACACTAATTTGACATCAATGTTGAAAATCCGAATCTTGTTCTTTTTATGCTAATTGCAACAGATTTTCACACTGATTTCAGAGCAGCTAATGTCTGTCTTACCTTACCGATTGTGACTGATTCTGGCATCCTTATCTGTGCCGCATTCAGTTGAAAGACTCTGCCCAAGTAAGAAATGAAAGAAGTGACCTTGTCCGGATGTCTTCCATTGATAGTGGTTGGCTATTGTCGTTGTTGTTTTCGTATCTTCATCACCTCTATCTCCTGTATGTTCACTTGGAATCCTGTCCTTGCTGGCAGTCTGTTCCTGCAACTTGTTGGTTTACGCCTGTCTAGGTCTTTGAGTTATATCCTACCATTTCTTGTCCCAGTGGTTTAAAAAAAATTATTTTGGGAACCATATAGTAAATCTGTTTTAAAATCATATATTTAACAAATCAGTAACAAGATTTTGTTTCGCCAGTATTACACTTCATATTATCTCATCATTTAGCTGCTGATGATTGATAGAGAGAGGCTTTATAGTTCAGGCGGATGATTTTAGTGCAATTCTATCCTCTGAACTGTAGAGATGGTTCAATTGCAAAACTTTCCACTGTCTTTCTAGACACAACGGCTTAACCAGTCACTTCCATACTGATAGGCGTTATTTATTCTCAGAGTACAATTCTTAAGTTACCTGTGGAGTTAATTCTCAGGGTCTGCTGGACTCCATTTTGATTTTATTTATCAACACTTCATACTACAAGAAATTGTCAACCGACAAAAGTCTAATTATCCGACTTAGAAAATTATATGGCTGTAGAACTCAGTTATATTTGATAAGCGAATTGTTTATTTGGCAAATGGATAATATAGTGTAATGATAAAATTAAAAAAAAAGCCTTACACTGAAGTTTCATGTCACTAAAACACGTCATAAATATACAATTAATCTGTTATCAAAGTTATTGGCTGGACTGTTATTTAAATCAAGAACGCCTCAGATACGTATTGTGTAGATGTAATTGTCCATTGAACCGTAAATGAACGCATATATATATATATATATATATATATATATATATATATATATAGTACTTTTCATTGTGTTCTAGCTGTAATTAGCAATTGGCCGTAATGAATTTTTGTTGTAATAACATCACTGTGCGTTAACTGACGATTCTTATTCACATATTCTTTGTTTCCATTCAAGGTCATCCAATAGACCTTGTTTTGGCATCCTTGGCTTTTCTTATAATTTTATATTTAGTAGATATATTAACATAATTTGTTATGCGTAACCGACTGGTTGTTTCTTTTTAAATGTATATTACCTTATTATTATTATTATTAGTAGTAGTAGAAGCATCTTTTTACTTATATGTATATACTGGATTATGTGTACAACAGTATTGTTAGTTGTGCTAGATTGTGTCAGAGATGCTGAATTACAGATTGAAGGGTAGGACGCTTGTTAGTAGTAGTAGTAGTTGGCTTGCCTTTTTATGAGAGATGTACCATTTATTTATATGTGTGAAAGAGTTCTGCGGTTCTTTATCATCATTCAAATAGACACTGTGTCTACTTTATTTGGTCTAAAATGGGGAGATATGTTAACGGTATTGCGCGTCATAGGGTTAGCATATATGTCTTCACTATTAATATATATGTGTAAAAATTGGGCACTGTGGTAGTAAGTCATTCCATATTAGTTTGTTTGTTAGATGTATCACACAGTGAGTCAAACAGTATTATTTACTGGATGACACAGTTTCCAACACAATTTTTCCTTCATAATCACATCAATTATAATCACACGACTTTGAAACTTGAGTTTTATAGTTTTCTTTGTCTTCTCCTATTTGTCGTCGTTGGGGTAGTAGATCAATAATAATAATAACATTAATGACGACATACATGTCAAACATGCGCAAGACAACACCAACAATAAGGAATAAAAGTAGGTGGCATTCAAACCCACAAACTCAATTAGAAACAAGCTTTGTCGGTTAAAGGATCCTGTGGAACCAATGAAACAAAACAATTCAGTTTATCTCACACACTACTGGAATGATTGTCAGGTCAAATACATAGGTCAAACTAGTAGAACAGATGCAGTCAGACTCACCAAACATAAAAACCTACCGAAATCTAGATTAGTTGACTCGAATAAGATAAGAAATCTAGAGAATAGTTCAGTTATAGCACTCACTACATGCAGTTACACAACCATACAATAGAATGGGATAAGATGACAGGGGGAGGGAGAGGTTGATAACGGAAGCTTTGTTTATCGAATCAACTACAAATACGTGTAGTAGGAATGATTCAACACCTGTCCACCCAGACATTCGGAAAATCCTACTACTCCAAAGACGACAAATAGGAGAGAACAAAGAAGACTATAAAACTCAAGTTTCGAAGTCGTGTGATTATAATTGATATGATTATGAACCGCAATAAATTGTGTTCTAAAAGTCATCCAGTAAATAATACTGTTTCAATGTGTGATACATCTAACAAACAAACAAATATTGTATATGTCTTCACGTAATTGACAATTTTTTCTGATATTATTTACTGGCTTCAACTTACCAACCATCTCTGCACTTTTGGTCCTGCTAAGATGAGGATAACCATTTGTTGTATGTGTCAGTTGTTTAGAAACTCCTTCACGGATGGTTAGAATATCCATTATTTTGAGATATTTTTGCACAATAATACCAGATTCTGTTATATTGGTAGCATATAATTGATTTCAAGTTTATTCATAAAGTGACTTAAGTTAGAGAACAAGTGAAAGCCATGGAGTCCTAAATACAGCTGTTTTGTCCTAGTTTGGAATTCTTCAGCAATGCTCATTGATGACTCTACTGGGGATCTATCTCAGACAAGCTCGTTGTCTATTGAGCCACTTGGAGGGGCATCCGGAGGTCCATCAATTCTAACTTCTGCTAATTCGTAATATCTAGGGTGACACCAGGCAAAAGCTACTCGTTTGAGCGTACCTGATTGGGCTTCATCGTGGGTGTCAACCCACCTAAGTTCCCCTCCCCGTAGGGATCAAAGCATTCTTGATCACCCTGAGCCCGTTGCAAGCTTGTTGGATCCCTTTGGTCACGACTTCTTACTAGGACTTCAAACCAAATCATCCTGTTGTCAGTCACTAGTGAGCACTAGATTAATTTTCGAGTTTCGGTTTATCGGGATTTCACTGGTTTCAAACTCTCTTCAGTTAGAGAGAACCATTGAAAACTATGGAGTACTGTACACCTATAAACCGGCAGTTTTAGTAATCTTGTAATCCACATTTAATCCAGTGGATTTTGTGGTTGCACTACTTGGAGTAGATTTTCGTGTCTGTTCTTCTTTTTAAAACTAACTCACTGAATATACGTTATGCAATACTTATGAGATTCCTTGGATTTATCACAACACAATATACTACCAACACTCTGTATGCGTTGGTTGATATATTCTCTATGCTTCAGGTCAAATTTTTTCAATCAATATTCTCTTTTCCCATATTTTTAATCTTTTAATAATCCACATTTTATTGGATATCATGGAAAGTGTTATTCTACTATCGCGCTTTACACAATTTTGTGTACTGATCTATACTTTTGTTTTTACCATTTTTCCTATATTTCCGTTGAGTTATTGTTCGAGGTCGTGCTGTACACCATGAAACGTAGTCTACTATAAATTGTTAAGCTTAATTTTTAAATATTAGAACAGATTAACTTCTCTCTCGTAGAAAAGTTGCTTAACAGTTCTCAGTTGATTTGTTGTCTCTTTTCTTCCCGTACACTATGAGCTGAAGTATAGCTAATTAAAGTTCACGCCATCGGTTTACTCAGTCTTCAATGTGATTGGTGGAGATGTTGTTTTTTTGTTTGTGGAGCTGATTAAATTACTATTATTACTGTCATTCGTCCTTTTGGGTTCTGAGTTGAACATATGGCTTCACCAACACATCTTCATTGTATCCTATTCTCTGATGTTTTGTTTAATTGGCTCTCTGTGACATTGGCCTACACGTTTTCATTTCCTCTTCGTATGATCTCCTTCATGTTTAAATTCAGATCTACTCTCAAAAAGCTGATTAAATATTTTCCTGCCAATTTATGATGCTTATCACCTCGTATTAAAGTTGTCTGGTGTGCATGTATAATCACAGTGTCTGAGATCCAGTATATCTGGGATATGTTCCTTTCGAAACACCATTAATTATTTATAGTCAAGAAGATAACTTCACGTTCCATCTTTTCTACTCAGTGTAGTCATTCCTTTCATTGTTGACAGATACTTCTAACCGCCATTCTTACCTCATTTTGATTGTCAAGGTGTTCGTGTTCCTTAGGAACAGGTAGAAAAAAAATAACAAACATACCAATAAATATTTAACATGAATATAATTATTCCACTGGAATGTTGTTTAGTCGAAGTCAGAAGCATGACTGTTTTCTGAAGATTCCAATGTAGTCATATGTTATTAAGCAATTAGACCTTTGTAATCTGTATAATATCCCAGTACAAATGCCTAATACTGTAACATCGTCTGTGTTAATTTTCTTCTTATTACTAGGAAAGCGAACACAATATCAATCAGCGATCAGATGAACTCGAAACACTTCGAGTGGATGTTTCATCACTTAGGAAAAATTATGAAGTGAGTCAATCAATATTTTTATGTGTACATACATATTAGTAATAGTTGCTGTTACTGTTGCTGTGGATATATACATATACATAGCTCGTGGGCTGAAGCATATGAGTTTCAGTCAGTTAGTTCCAGAGTCGTATTCTACTCCATTTAATTTAGCCTGTGTAACTCAGTAATATGATCAGCCCTCTTACATGAAAAAAAAACCGGTCCTGAGAAACTTAGTTGTAACTAAGTATTGACATCTTATGTAAGGATTCCGACTATTCTCATCTCCAGCTTTCACATCATTGATTTGCAGATGAGTGAGCTTTGGAGTGCCAGCTCACACCTCTACTGAGTAAATTACTGTGTATCATTTTTTAAAATCTACATTACTTTGAACATTTATCCAATTCCCTTTTAGTTTCCAGCATTGTCACTAAATACTTTGTTGCTATGTGCTCTTGCACTTACTTACGTCGTCGGCAAATAGGTTTAGTGGTACCTGGACCTTAGCCGTAGTAATATAACAATAAGTATTCATCAGAAAGTAGGCTAGTATATAGGATAATGTCTCGTGTCCTGTATCCGAATTCAAGATGTACCACAAAATATATGTAAAACCTGTCGCATAGACAGTAGCCATAAACATGGGAAGAATATATTAGTTACAATTTGAAAACTATTCAGAAATTAGATGTGGTCGGCATTCCCTGATCTTATCCTAGACACTTCTTCTACACTCTTTGTGGTAGTCGTTTAACCGTTGGGAAAATCAGTGCTAAGAAATCCAAAAGGTTATTTAGTGAGGCTACCACCGACATAATGCCTCCCTTATTCTTATTCTTCTTATTATTATCAGGTATATGTATGTTATGCAAACAAAAGAATCTTTCCTTGTATCTTGTTTGGAATCTGCACTTACAAAAGTGCAGTGGTGACCCCAGATAGAAGTCGCATATGTGCTCCAACTAAAAGAATTAACTATATAGTTTTAATGAATTCATCATATGAATAGACTGTGGAGAAATTTCAGAAACAGATTCCACCTTTACTAAATCTTTCATCCATTATTTAGAGTGTCCATGGAGTCAAAAAATGCCTAGGGAAACTGAACCTCTTTCATTTCTTTTTAAGTATGTGCGATTTAACTTAAAATTAATACTCACTTTTCAAGTATTGGTTTTTTAGGGAATTTTTGTTTGATTGGTTGAAGGATTCCATCATGAGCTGACATCAGTTAGAGAACCGTCGGAAAACCTCGGAGTACTGGACAGTTGTTTCGTCAACCTAGTTTGGGACTCTTCATCAGTACGCATCTACCGCCAGGGCTCGAACCCAGGACCTTCCGGCTACAAGGTGATCTTGTAGACCATTAAGCCACTGGGACCCTATCCTCACTTTCACTAGTCCTATTGATAACTTGCATAATATAAAGACGGCTTTTCATTTATGGTACTAATGAGAGTTTTATAGAGTTATCTCTCGTTTTTTGCAATTGTTTATCAACCTATCTGTTATCTTTACGACAGATACGTACACTATGTCTAGGTTGAAGCGTCTCCTCAATATTTTTTAAATATGTTTTCATTTGTCTCTAAGATTCGTACTAGTATGGTATGTGTAGGGTGAGATACATAGATAACTATTTGGCTTATATCAATTATACTCTACGGCAAAGCTATAATTACAACTTTCATTCACCGTATTATAATTATTGTTATTTCAGGCTCTTGAGAATGGCAACTCTTTACTTCGCGAAGAAAAGGATACACTGGCGCGTAAATATGACGAATTAAATAAGAAACACGCAGTAAGTCGTCCGTCTTTTGTAATCACCATTGCAGTGTGTGGGTATGTGTGTATGTGTGTATTGTCTATATTCATTGTTGTTTGTGAACTTGTAGAGGTCATCTATTATTATTTCGTATCATCTCAATGCAAAGTAATAATATGTGGTTTAACTTTAAAAAAAATAACTCTTTAGAACAGAAATAGACACGGAGCTTAGCGTATATCTGATCGATTCGATGAATAATGAAACATAGTGTATAGCCATTTGTTGTTGTTGCTGACCAATCACACTTCTTCTGAATATTCAAGTCTACTTCATACTTTGTTTTTATCTTTGAATAATGTAAGCCTAGTTCCACAGTTCATACTGCTTTCGCATCATGTACAGTTATAATTCAGTTATGATACGTAGGTAAAACAGTCCACCTACTTTAAGGAGTTTCTAAATCACTGGAATTTGGAATTAACTCTCCAGTAATATTGACTGGTCAACAGTATGTAATTGTGTGTAAACGAAAACACGTTTTACTTTTACTCTCTACGCCTATAGTGTTCTATTTACCTGTCGTGTTAATTTTTTGTATAGCGGTCAGTCTGTAATCACCTCAGTCTATAATTACAATTATTGTTATTCCGGTAGCACATCTCCATTGTACACTCAGCTCTTTTTTATCATTTTCAACTGACCCCGTTTTAAATGTTTATAAGCTTTCATTTTCCTTTCATATAATCTGGATGTCATCCTCAGACGTATACCTAAACTCTTGTTTCTCAGTCGGGTTCTACTCAACGGACTAGCGTGTAATGTCACTTAGATGTCTTCTAAGCGTATGTCTGACCCATTTCCATTCCCTTCTACATTTTCGTTAAACACTAGATTCTTGGTTAGTTCTCTGCACCAACAGAATTCCTTATTTCTTGCTTATTCTTTCTTACTGACTATGGTATCTTCAGTATTGTTGGCAGAAGGCATACGTTGGCCTGTGGAATAGTTCAACACTCTGTTAAGAAGACTGTCAGTGACACGCACATCAAGTCTCTAAAGCATATCGAAAGAAGCACTGAGTGACTTGACATTAGTGTTAAGAATTCATGAACTGAAAGTGGCTGTAGATTATGCAGCATGTCTCAGTCGATGTTGCTTTGTCAGTAAGCTTTTTCCATTGTATGCCTGTGTGTATGTATGTATTGCTGACAATGAAGCAAAAAGTCTATTTATTGTTTTCTCTCTCTATACTTATCTTGTCAGAAATTGTATTATCATGTGGTGGTAGAGCGATAGTGAAAATACATTGTCATATATGATCTTGTTCTTGAACAACGTTATGTTCTGTTCTCTATACATGTATACATGTATATTTAAACAAGTCAAACTATGCATAGTGATAATGTTATAGGAGTAGGTAATAACTATTCCTCTTTCTCTCTCTCAATCACAGTTTTTCTGTCACTTTTTCCCCCTTGTGTGCATAGGAGAAGCATCTTCGTTGTCTAACTGGTGAATGAATTCACTGACAGACTAACAAACAAACAAGCAAAAGGAAAACTGTGCATTCTGTAGACAATAAAATGTATCTTGATCATGATACTTCTTATAAACTTGCTTTTCTAAAGTCATTTAATCAACTGTTATTATTATTATTATTGTTGTTCCCTCGGGTTCCTAGTGAAACATAAGGCTTCAACTACACGTCTCCACTTGCTTCTGTCTTCTGCTGTACTTTTCACCTGCATCCATGTTAGTCCATACTGTTTCAACTCCTCTTCACACGATCTCCTCCATGTCACCCTTGCACCGACGAACCACTCGCCGATTCCCTTTCGGGTTCCACTCGAGCTATGGCCTGACGCGCGATGTCACCCAACGGCCTCCTCAGCGAGTGTCCAATCCATCTCCACTTTCGCCTTCATATTTGTTGAGCGATTGATTCTTGTTTTGTTTGCTCCCATAGCTTCTTGTTGGTGATTCTTTCCGGCCACCTGATCTTCAGTATAGAACGAAGACAGTTGTTGATAAAGGTCTGCAACAGGCTGTTGGAAATATTCTTTTGTTACCCGCCAAGTTTCTGATCCGTATAGAAGAACCGATGATGATGCGTAGAGTTGCAATTTGGTCAGAGCATGATTTGCTTTTCCTGTTCTGGTCGGAATTCTGCATCCTTTTTTTTCCTTCACGTTCCCAGTGGAACATAGGGCTTCAAGCTAGTGGCTTGGGGTTTCTGTAGCAGTGTTTATTTTACAGGATGGGGTTGCTAGCCTCATGCCCAACCTTTCCTCTTCACCAGCATTATTTCTGACTTAGCGAGGTAAAGGATTGCGTCGGCCAGGGATCGAACCCCGGACCATTGCATGGTCGGCGAGCGTCCTAACCGCTATGCCACCGAAATTCTGCATCCAGTGCGTCCTTTATTCCTCCAGGATGATGCGACTCAGAATTTTACTTGGCGTCGACAGGAGCATGATTCCTCAACTATTAGGAATATCTTTTTCTTTTCTATGCTATATCCTGGGGAATTTTTTAAAATATTTTTTGTTGTCTTACCAGTTTTTCTCCTGTTGCACTGCTTAATTTTATTTGTAAGCCCCCTGTAGGTGTGAGAATATCTTGATAAATAATTGTTGATAAAGTATTTACGTGTAAATTACTTGATAAACAAGGCATTTCTCCAATATTTTCAGTTCTGAATATCATCACGTTGGTTGTGGTATATTGATATACCTTCATGGATGTAGTTTAAGTAACTGCTAAGATTGGGGAACAGTGAAGAAGTTGTTGCTTTTATTTGTTGTGAATGAAGGTACCAGTGAAAACTTCTCATTGAAGCAAAATTCTATTGTTTGCACTTATGGTGTATGCGTGTGTGTGTATATGTAACGACAGAAGGCAAGAGTCAGGCAACAGATCATTTATTAAGGAAATCAACGCATATTTATATATTTTCATGTACATTATTATGGGTAGTTAAGCGAACAAACACAGTCTTCCGATTGGTTGTTTCTCACGTAAAGTTAATGTTTCATCTATTTGTGACTGTTTCTTGAATGTCAAATCCTCTATATGTTAACTGCATCCGCCTACGCAAAGTCTGCTGTGGTCGGTTTTGAATCAATCTTTGTTCACATTTTCTCACGACAAATCTTGGGAACGTAAATATTGACGTAAATTACTGTCTACCAATTTGGCTAGTAGACAGCTCTCACCACATATATATTAATGAGTGTGACAAGTGACCGAGCTCCTGAACACTGCTTTTTCATTTATCAGTGTATCTCTATTGTTAAGTAGTAGAAAGGATAACTGACTGACGTAGTTTCAGCATAGAACTTTGCATAGGAGTGTGGCAGTTCAACTCGCTACATTCTGTGTAGCACATAAGGGTGAAAAAAAGAGAAAAATGAGATTCGAAAGAACTATAATGCGAAGAAATGTCTGCGAGAAAGAATAGTAACATGAGAAATTGTAAGGAATTGATGGATGTGGGAGATCACAGAAAGTGGATCTATCTGCGCCATTTAAAGCAGTTACCGGACATTGGTCCTTAGCGTCTTGTGAACGTGGTTCAAATCAGCAGATGAAGACTTCATGAAATAACGCTGTACTCTTCTCCAACTTAATCCTATGCCAGCTGGCATTGCTCGAGGAGTAAGACGATGGTTCGGTGTAACTTCACAACCTGATTGTTCGACTTATCCTTCTTCCCTAACACTCTACGCCTGGCCTCACTATTAATCACTATATTGTACAAGCATACATAATTCATGTTTAAAAAGCCTAATTTTTAAATTCATACTTTCCTGAATCTTATTCTGTATGTGTTCACTGTAATACTATCTGTGTGAATTAGATCTTAGGATTTACTATGATTAATTCAGTCGTGTATATATATTTTCCAGTGGTTGTATTTCATTGTTTTCTTTTCTTCTGTTTTCTGCAAAACTAAATAGACGATTGTAACCGAATTGAATGCATTGCAATCACAGTGTAGTGTATTCCATCGACAAGTAGCTGACTATGAAGAACGTTTACACAAGGTGAATGAACAACATCAACATACTGTCGATGACTTAAAAGAACAATTAAAGTCATTACTGTGCAATAGTCAAACTAATGAAAAATCACACATTAATATGATACATACACTGGAGGCAAAAGTGGAACAATTAACTAAAGAAGCTGATGAACACAAGAAACAAATTAGTGCATATGAAGTTGAAGTGAAGCATTTACAAGCACAGAAAAATACTCAGGTTGCTGAACAAATCAATACTGTGTCAAATGAAGATAAAGATATGCAGACCTCTGATGATGTGTACAATAGGTAATTGTTTACTTTAAAGGCAATTCGTCTGTTATTATTAGAGATTATTGTGAATTTAGGAACTACCCATTGTCACCTATTTCTGTTTTTAATGTACTAGGAGGATTGACTCTAACTGACTTTAGCGACTTAGAGATTGTCTTGTTATCAGGGTACAGTCTCGTCGATGTAGATAGTACAGATGATATTATTTTTTATAGGTGAAGATGCTGATGAAATACAAACTGTTTCGGAGCACAGGCGAAAGTCTCAGTATCCTTGGCGTGCGATTCTCTTCTGTCAAATGGAAGATGATGATGCTGCAGGACTGGTTGACCACTTCACTTATTTAGGAAGTAGTGTCAGTCCTAATCGACTGATGGCTGACAAATTATTGTTACTGATACAAAAGGCTCTTGGGGCATCTACTAACTACCGTCATATCTGGTGCAGACGCGATAACCGGCTATCAATCAAAGGGTGTGTGTACTGTGCACCGATTCAGTCTGTCCGTTTTTATGTGAGACATGCCTATTGAAGGTGGTAGGCTGGAAGAGACAATCTGTCTTTCACAATCGGTGTTTGTTTGTCTTAAGTGGTATAATACGATGAGATAGGCTTAGAGTGTTAGGTAAGGAAGTCCGTCGATGAGGTTTTCATGCAATATTGATTAAAATGGCTGGGACACGCGTGTTACGCATGCCAAACTATCGGATATTATTGGCTGATATAGGATTAGGTTGGAAAAGAGTTTGACTCACCATTACGCCCCTTCAAAATTGTGATGAGGGCATTGATTAGTCGCCAGGACGTAACCAGTGTCGTGATCCTAGTCCTTGGCGATGGGCCAGATTGAATTCTCCTGATCAGTTTAGCACTGTGGCCACCAGTTTAATTTAATATGCATTCCGCACAATGTTTATACTTTATTCTATAAAGATATATACTGGTTTAGAAGCTGTTACAACTCTCGGTGTTCGTTCGATTATTATCTAGCTAGTCAAGTAGGATGGGGGAAAAGTCTAACAGGCGAATTTTGAATACCGTGTCACCTGTATCTTTATTTGTTTTTGATACAATTGGATGTATTTTTTCACCAGTGTCTGTCCAGTGAGAAAAGATGCAGTTAGTATCTGTGTTGTTTTTAAAAAAAATGGTAATTTAGAATCCTTATTGCGAGTGTAATCCCGTTCACCAGAGGCGTTAGCTGTAATTTCTTCGGTAAACTTCATGGTATAACTGCTGTCCCATATGCATATAATGCATGTCTGCACAACTTTAACAATTAAACGTGTTAGCATTTTTGATTTTATTTTTAGTTCAATTTTGATTTTCCCGTTGACTAATTGAACCGAATTGTTCAGCTTCTGTTGACATGTGGGCTCCTTGTATGGATGCTTCAACGATGTTTTGAGGATTAACTTGAAGTAATTTTGATGGATGGTCACTAGCAGGGGAATCCAGGATGGACATTTCTTCCTATTCGGGATTCATCATCTGGGTGTACCCACATTCCCTAGTGAGTGCTGGTGGTGTTTTCAAACGATGGCTACTGGGTTCGAGTCTCAGTGAGAGCACCCTCACTCACTAGAGACTGCAGGTACATCCAGATGACGAGTCACAATCTGACTAAACTATATTGTTAGCATTTGTTTTCCATCAGAAATATGCATTGGTCACTACACGTAAAAAAGACAACGATTGGCAAATTTTGAATGATCATTTTTTCGAAAGAAGTTACATATTTGTTCTTAAACATTTTTCAAACAAAAAAGAATTAAAGAATAATTTATTCGGTTTACGTCTTTTTTTTCTATTGCTTATTGCATTTCTCATGTCTTGAAATCAGTTCTGTGTTTCAGTGTCTATCACACATGTAGTAAAAGTTGCTTAGGCGCGCTCGATATTTCAACAGCTTATACAATCATGATTAGTAACTTTTATAGAGATATCTGTTCGACAGATATTATTTTATGTAAATGTTGATCAATACGCCTGGCAGTCATGGTAATAATAATAATGATAGTGATCGTTTCCAAGTTATTTTGCACCTTTTTTACCGACAAACCGAATGGAATATTTGATTTCATTCAATCTTACCACTAAACTTTTAGTAGATACAATTTATTTTGGAGTGATTCTATAATTATATATATATATATATATATCATTTGTGTTGATAAATGTGCAGATAAGATGACAAAACCATGGTTTAAGACCTAACTCATTGGCTCAAGCAACCGAATTTCAGTCACTGCGTTAGAGTTCTGTTGCTCCTACTCCAGCTTGGGCGACTGAGTAATTATGACCAGCCTTCACACAGCCACTGTTTGAGTTTATAGCCTGGAACGTGAAAAACCCATTCCGAACATTGAATTCGAACAACATGATTACAAAATCTCGGTGTTTCTGACACAGTCGGTTGCCGCCTCCCACCCGCCTTTACTATGATTATACCGTACCTTTTAGCTTCTTACTTATGTGTGTAATTTTTGGCGTTTGGCAATTTGCACCGGTGATGCAACGATACCAGGCTGAACGGACATGGTTATCCGCAGAAAAGAGGCAAGTTTGGGAAGAGGTTTGTCACGATTCACTTGTATCAGTAGTCGGATTCTTCTTCTGTATCATCGGATTTCTAGGCTTTCTGTAAATAGTCAGCTGTGTAGTATTGATCAACTATAGTGTTATGTTTATGTAGAAAAAGGTTGGTATTCAACTTAGTTCTGATTTTGGACAAAATGTATTTTTTGTTCCGGTAACTTATATTTAGCATAGGCGTGTTTTTGTTTATGTTGTGAAATGTATTCGTGTTTCAATCCATGCATTGCATAGTGCTTGATTACACCAATGTGTGTGTATTCGTAAATACTGGCACCCTTATGTGTAATTAGAGTAAAAAGGAGTGTGAAAAAAAACCACGTTTGAATTAAAGACTTCTGAAAATGGGTATTTTCATTTGGGATTTATTTGTTTATTTATTCATTCATTTGACTTTCTCTGACCAGAGATAACTGAGGGATAGAAAACACCACCTACACACACTGAGATTTTGATCGATCGTCGGTGCATACGTTCTTGTTTCGTTTTGAATATGACAGTTGAAGTTGGTTGCATGGTCAAATTTTTTGGAAGTTCATCTCTTCATTATAAAATAACTCTAATACTCATCTCACTCTACTTTGCCAAGTAATCGTATAAAAGACAGTAGGTGTTTTCTGTAGATAACAGCTTCAAATCTGAATTTACCGTCTGGAAAAAGTACCTCTGGGTTATGCGGTTACAATCTATCGCATATGGTATTATTATTATTAGTCCCTTACGTCTTGAATGGAATGCAAGGCTTCAGCAGCACATTTCCATATCACTCGGTTCTCCGCAGTTTTTTGTCCAGGGCCACTATTACTCATTCATCTCCATGTCAACCTCGAACCGATACCCAACTCACCTCCTATTCGGGTTCCACTAAACGGTCTGGCACGCTATGCTACTTGATGGTATCTTCAAAATATATCCAACCCATATCCATTTCCTTCTGATTATTTTATGGGCACTACTTTTTTGGTTGGTTCGTTTCCAGAATTCCTTGTTGCTTATCCTTTTTCGTCGGCCACATGTTCTTCCGTATGCAGCGATAGCAACTATTGATAAAAGTCTTCAGGAGGCTGTTGGGAATGCTTTTCGTGACACGCCAGTTTTCTGAACCATATATAGAAGTACTGATTCGACACTAGTGTCAAAGATCCAGAGCTTGTTTTTTATGTTGTGCAGAAGATTTCCGTACTGATTTCAGAGTACTGAAGGTCTGTTTTGCTTTTCAACTATCCTTGTTAGCTTTGACATCCTCATTTGAGTCACTCGTAGTTCAAACAATACTGCCTAGATAGGTGAAAAAGGCAACTTCATTTAGATTTTTCCAGTTGATGGTGATTATTACTTGCTGTTGTCAATCTCTTGAGCGTCATCACCTCTGCCCTCTCAATTTTCACTTGAATACCTGTCTTCGTTGCCTTCTTATTCTTCTTCTTCAAACGTGCTAGTCTTCACCTGCAAATCTTCGTTTTTCTGCTAAGCACTTTTCTTTTAGAATCTTTCTGGCAGTACAGTGTATGTGTGTCTTTTGAATCCCCATGGTCTGCTGCATAACCTGGTCCATTACAGTCAGGAATATCGTTGGTGATAGTAGACAATTCTGTCTACCTCTTGTCCTTTCCGTTGTGAATCACTTGACATGTGACATCGTCATTTTGCTGTTGAATGAGATTGATAAAGATATGGAGCACTCCGTAGTGTTGGAGCAGTTTCCAGATTTATATATATATATATATATATTCTTTCAGGTCATGGCCAATATCTACCTATTTCATTGTGAACACAATTGCACTAATTAAGGACATTAAGATTATTGAGCCAAGATTTGCTGACCTTATTACTTACTTTCTTACTTACTGAAATCTCTTTCTGTTATAAGAATATTTTGTGTAAAAAAAATCTACACGAAATACTCAAAGTACATTTAGTAGTAGCACTAGTACTACATGTACTAGCAGCACTACATTTATTTAGCTATATGAAGTGTTAATTGCATACTGTTGATTACTATATATAAATGTATAATTCATGCAGATAAACAGACAAGATAAGAATCGGGTCCCTGTAGCTGAATGGTGCGTCGGTGGCACAGTGGTTAGGACTCTCGCCGACCATGCACATGGTCTGGGGTTCGATCCCCTGCCGGCGGACACCCGATATCTATGGTCGGCCTGCAAAATTTGGGCTACCGATATCCATGCTGAAAATTCCATACTTGTACTGAAAATACGGTGTGGAATCAAGCTGTAATCAAAATAAAAAATTAAATAAAAAATGTATATGAGCTTGCCTTGTAACTGAAAGTTCCTGAGTTCGAACCCTGGTGGTGGGTGCGTACTGCCAATGATTCCCCAAAACCAGGATGAAACAGCTGTCCAGTACTCCCAACTGGTTTTCAATGGTTCTCTAACTGATATCAATCTGTGATCAAACTCGTAATAAAAATCTAATCCTTACAAACCAACTATTGAAAAAGATAAGAATTAGTCGGAGTAACTATAACGTGAGTACTACAAAATATAAAGGCAACCTATGCATATTAAGAAGGAAAATGATTTCATTGGAGCAAGCAGAAAATAGGATGTTCAGAAATCAAGCATACAGTTAGGTGACTGACAGTAGACAGTCTTGACGTGCTTATATTCAGCTCGGGGGTGGGGGTTTGGATTGGGCGGACGGGTTGTTTCTCCCAAATCGATTGTTGATTGATATACGTTTTTACCTAGGAAATCATGATTTCTTCGAATCTCATACATTATTTGATAAATATGAATTTTGTCTCGAGTTTGTTTGAGCTTTGCTAGCTACCACAAAAGTATTTTTTGAAGGTGTAGCCCATCGGTTAAAACTTTCAACTGTTGGTTGCGAAGCACACATCTCCTTTTACTTACTTCGACTTGAACAGTGCGAAAGTATAGCCAAAACTAGCTCATTAAGTGTGACTCTCTATAGCTCAACTTATAAATTTCTCCCACTTTTCTTAGTTGCATCATTGGAGTGAGGAAAGTTACTATGTGAACCTAATAAAATCTGTCAATTGCATCTTCTACTCTCTGTGGGAGGTTACAGGTCGTTCAGTTCCTGTCTTGTTTATTTATTTTTTTGCTTCTTTTATAAGACACTGGAATAGTTTCCAAGTGTAATTCTATTTCTCCTTGTCAAACTGTTTTTTCTCCTCTTTTTATGACCAGAAAATCTAATGTCAATCAGTCAAACAATACAGAATCCAGTCAATATATTGTTGAGTCTATGGAGTATAGATTGTTACAAGCTCAGGTGGAACAGTATAAATCAGCACTGGATGCTACAGAATTAATGTTATCTAAACTACAAACTTCAGTGAACGAAGAAGAAGCACGTTGGCATAAAGCGCTTGATGCTGCTAATATTGAAAATGAACTGGTAAATAAATAAATAAATAAATAAATTTTAATTTGATAATCTTCCGCAGCCCCGCCCACCTTGCTGTTTTTTTTTTCCCTGAGTCATTTCACTTATGTTTCTTTTATTGTGTTTCACTGGATTACACACCTGTACAGAGACTCTGACCAACCAGTTTTAGTATCAAGCAGGTGATATATTGATTGGCAACTCCATGGAAGAAGTGCGAGGGGTTGTTGATTCACGTTTCTGCTTTATAATAATGAGTATAATATAAGGTGTGCGTGCGTCAGCGGTTCAATGGTAAGGTGCAGATTCAATTTCTGACCGAATCACTTCCAAAATTCAACCTAATCGGTAGTAAACTTGAAGAAACAGGGAAGGTTCATGTGAGACTGTTGGTTCTACAGCTTGAAACCAACACTACTGCTACTGAAACTTTCAAAGCTTGAAATCGCATGTTCCATTCACAACACACAAGGAGTGGAAAAGAAGAATAAGTCACTTTAATGTTAATAGTATACTAAAAACAGTTTAGCGAACACCTTGAATTAATTTTCGGTTTATTCTATTCACTGTATTTGTAGTATGCTGAAGTTAATAGAATACCTTATTTATATTTTGATGGTTAATTGTGTATGGATCTGCGTGAATCATGTACAACCTATACCTAGGTCACATAGTTTTGTAGTGTGAATACACCAAAAGCATGTGTTCAGCGTCGGTGATGCAGAGGCAGATTACTCGCCAACCATGCACGTGGTACAGGGTTCGATCCTCGACCGAGGCACTCCCAAACCTCGCTAAGCCGGTTATTATCTTGACAAAGAGGGTAGGTTGGGTGTGAGGCCAGCAACTCCACCCCGTAAAATATGTGTTCATTAGTGATTCTATTCCTCATTCATGTAGCGAATCCCAATAGTAATTGTAATGAGCGAAATCCAAGTATTTTGGTCTCGACTCAGGAAACCATTCGATGCGTTTTTCTCCTTTGTAGCTTATCAAACTTTCATGAGTAGTGCAAAGTCCGAAATCATATTCCAACAATATATCAGTACACAATTTAGCTTGGTAGAACCTGTTGTTGCTGTCAAAAGTATTTAAAAAAAATACTTCTTCAAAAGTGCCGTCTGTCAGTTATACAATTCTACAGTTACTCAGGTTTAAAATACATGCAGAATATTAGTAAGAATATTTCCAACCAGGTGGGATCAAAACTCTGTCTGTAAGAATCAAACACAGAGTAGAACACGTCTCCTGCAGACAAACACTCCATGATGAAACCTTGTGTGAACTTCACTCAATAAGGATTGAAATAGTAAAACGCCATCTTATTATCTACGGTCCACCATCTTACAATATTAAGGGGGAAGCATTAGAAATATAGGGGTCAACCAGAAACAAAAAGAAGTAAGTATAAGAATTGGCAGGAGAGAAGGTATGCAAATGTTAAACTGACAGTGCCGTAGATCGGGAAACAAAAAGTAATACAAAATTAATTGAAATATTCAAATAAGTTTGAAATATTATTGTAAGTAGGATTGCTCATGGGGGGATTTTCAGATCAAGTATTTACCTATAGTGATTACCACTTCTGTTGTTTTTATGTTTTTGTCTTTCATTGATTATGCTCATTATGCTATTTTTCCTTTTCCTTGTTAGTTAAAAACAAAGTCAACTAAACTTGAAGCAGCTTTGAACGAATTAGTACAGGATCGTAATGCTTTGACAAAGACAATTGAAGAGGTTAGTGGTATTCGATATTAAAGTTGTTGGTTTTCTTTTTCAAACAGCACATTCATTGAAGTTAATTTTTATTGTTGTGCATTTTCGTTCCATTTGTTCCCGTTTTTTTAATTATTTATCGTACAATGCCTTAAATCTGTATTAAGTATTAATGGAACTGTGACTTTTTAGTCTAGGTTGGCTCATCATTGAATCACTGGGTGTCATGGCTTTGAAACTCACTCTACCTGCCATGATTTTGGAAGCTAACCGTTAAAACAATAGATGTGTTTGATCACCGGTAACAGTAATTAACTTAGCTATTTCTCTTATTTAAAACTGATGTGCGTAGGTGTATTTTATGTGTGTCGACTGCTCCCAGATGGCAGTGTTGCATACCTTTTATCCTTTCGCAGTAACCTCTAATTGTTTTGTTACTGACACCTAGTTACTTACCTTCTTTTACGACTCACTAACTTAATCTTCAATAAAACAAAATATATACATTTTTATCGGAAACCACTCTAATACACCTGACGAAAGTAACTGAAACTGATCTGCTGTCTGTGTACTTGTTCGTCATCTTCTTACCTCCAAGAATCATACCATTAATATTATGCTGTTGTAGACAAGGTTCACTGGTTGTTTTCTTTCTTTACATGTAACAATATTTACTTAAAATGATTACTGTACGTGGTATTACGTTTATGTGTGTGTGTGTTTGGTGCGTCAGATTAGTCATCCTGTTTGTCCAATATCTTAAACTGGTAGCTAATTGAATTCACAATGTTGGTTTTTTCATAATGAATCACGATGAGATTTTCCGTGCAGTATTTTATTACTGGAGAGAACACCAGTGAAGATACGACAGGACTATGTACTTGTTTCGTCCTGGTTTGGAACTCCTCAGGACCTTCATGGTGGTACTAGCCCGGCCTGTTGGTCATCATCCAGCCAAATGGCACGGAATACCCGATGGCCCATAAATTCCAACTGTTGTCAGTTCGTGGTATATAGCACAATAACTGACTGATGTCATTTCGTTTACGTAACTAGCACTTCAAAATACAGTTGGTTTTTCAGTTGGCATTCATTATATATTATATTAATACATAGTATATTGATTTAGGGTGCTTGAATAGCAATTTTTGAAGTGAACACCTGCTTATTGAAGCATTTGAAATAAATTTACCTGAATTTTTTGTCAATGGAAAACCTCGTGGATTAGCAGTATTGTCTCGCAAATTTTTGAGAATTATTTTAGGAAATAATAAATTAGTACTTTCATCATTCATTTACTTGTTGTTAGATTGAATTCAGTGTATAATGAATGGTTTGTTGTTTTGAACTCCGTCTCTCTCTCTGACTTCAGTTTCTCTGCTTTATTCCTGTGGGTTCGGAGTGGAATATTGGGCTACAAGCTGTGAAGTTTGGAGTTTCATTAGTAGTAGTAGTTTTACCAACTTTCACGTCCAACCTACCATCTTTTCCATGCTTACAATCGGGCAGATGAGGTTTTGTGAATGAACCATTTGGGAATCGAAATCTACCCCTTGAACTACCTACGCATTTACCCTGAACAGATTTCGTATGTACCAGGCTATGACTTTCACAATTGTGTCGGGGTTGCTACTAATCGATAACCGCAGTTATCGAGGTTAAAATAGGTCGAAGCGGTGTTTTGAAGCTGCAACTCATTGGTTGAAAGACATGTGCTCAGTCCAATGACTCTGAAACATGGCCAATACGAGATGAAGACATGAAAAGGTTGACTGTTTTTGATCATAGATGTCTACGATGTCTTTCTCACGTTAGGTGGTATAATAAGGTAAGTAATGTTGACGTTAGGCCTAGAGTGTTGGGCAAAGAGGGAAAATCAATCGAAGAGGCTATATAGTTACATAGATTGAGATGGCTAGGTCACGTGCTGCGCATGCCTAACCATCGCCTCCCTCGACGGGCATTACTAGCTGGTATAGGTGCAGGTTGGAAAAGAGTAAGCGGTGGCCAAACAAAAACATGGCATCAATCCATGAAATCCTTGACAGTTAAATTGAGTCAGGTAGGGAGATGCAGACTTCCGGGTTGGGGCTGGCCCTTGGAACTCTAAGAATCAATGGCTGGAGACAATAGGTGACATGGCTCAAAATCGTTGTCAATGGCGCAGATGTATTCAGTCTCTGTAATCCTTCATATTCCTTTCTACCATTACTCATTCTGTTTCACTCTTATACTTGTCAAAACTCTACTGATTCTCTTCACTCATCTTCTTGTCCACCTTTGTGTGCTATTTGGAACGTGGCAACTCGAACTGCTGCACTTCAGTGCCAAGTTCTATGTTGAATCCAGACAGACAGAATGAGTCACACCTCCACAGCATTTAATTACTAAAGTACACTTAATTACAGCATGAAAACAAAGTTTCACTGTCGCTTATTTCTTCATGTTTTCAAAAAAAATTTTGTGTAGCAACTTTAAAACCAATCTCACTCTTCCCCCATATTTATCTTCTTTTTCATTTACAGCTGCGTAATAAAACTCAGTTCAATAATTGCAACTCGATTGATACACCTAATAATAATAATAAAACTGATAAATCGTCATCTATTTCACCGTCACCTTCGTCACCACTCTCGACTACAACGACAACAACAGACACAGATGAACAAAATATGTCTAAATCTGAATTGATTACTTTGGTGACTAAACTTCGCTATCTTGTTGAAGTTGAAAGGAATGCCTTAAAACAAGAACAATCCTTATCAGCCGAGTTGAGAACAAAGCTGAATGGTACAAATTTCTATGATGACAATATTAGTAATAATCATAACAACAAAAATAACAACCATTTACCGAATTCTTTTGTGGATGATGACGATGATGATGATGCAGAGAAGAAGTTGAACTCAAAAGATCAAGTAAGCGTAAAAGTTGATTTCAGTGGATGGTGTGTAATATAATGAGTAATATTTATCAGGTTATGTGTGGAGTTGATAAGGTTGTGAAACTGCATCAGTTATGATGGATAGGACACGTGTTGCGCATGTCATACCATCGCCTTTCTTGTAGAGAAATGTTAAGTTAAGACATTGGATTAGATTGATAAGAGTTAGGGCTGGTTAAGTGAAAACCTGTCATCCTGGAGAGAATAAAGGACGCACTGGATACAGAACTCCGACCAGAACAAGCTGGATTCAGGAAACGCAAATCATGTTCTGACCAAATCGCAACTCTACGCATCATCATCGAACAAAGCATGGAATGGCAATCAAACCTCTACCTCAACTTTGTAGACATTGAGAAGGCCTTCGACAGCGTTGACCGCGAAGTAATTTGGAAATTACTCGAGTACTACGGCGTACCCCAAATATTCATCAACCTTATTCAACAGCTGTACGACAATGGCACATGTCAAGTGATCCACAACGGAAAACTCAGCGAGGCGTTTGGAGTGAACACAGAAGTCAGACAAGGGTGCTTATTATCACCAATGATATTCCTAATTGTAGTGGACTGGATTATGTGTCAGACAGTGGGAAACGAGAACAGAGAGATATCCTGGACCGACGTGAAGAACCTAGAAGACCTGGATTTCGCACGTGGATGATTTATGTTTGATGTCACACAAAATCGAAGACTTACAAGCGAAAACCGACAAACTGGTCGAAGAAGCAGCCAGAGAAGACAGGACTCCATGTGAACATAGACAAGACGGAGGTTATGAAAATAACCAACCAACAACAACAACAGCAGCAACATCCAACGCCAATCGACATCAACGGGAGGGATTTGAAAGAGGTTACTTCATTCACTTATCTAGGGAGCATTGTCTCAACTACAGGAGGAACAGACGAAGATGGGAAATCGAGAATCGGGAAGGCGAGAAACCCATTCATCAACCTGAAACCAATCTGGAAATCTTCGTCACTCAACATCATCAACAACAAAATTCGGATTTTCAATACAAACGTCAAGTCAGTCAGTTCTTCTATACGGATCAGAAACTTGGCCAGTGTGTCACAAAGAATATTTCCAACAGCCTGTTGCAGACATTTATGAACAACTGTCTTCGCTCTATACTGAAGAATAATCAGATGGCCGGAAAGAATCACCAACAAGAGACTATGGGAACAAACGAAACAAGAACCAATCGCTCAACAAATATGCAGGAGAAAGTGGAGATAGATTGGACACTCGCTGAGGAGGCCGCTGGGTGCCATCTCGTGTCAGGCCATAGCTCGAGTGGAACCCGAAAGGGAAGCGGAGAGTGGGATGTGGAAGGGTGACATGGAGGAGATCGTGTGAAGAGGAGCTGAAACAGTATGGACTAACATGGATGCAGGTGAAAATTAGAGCAGAAGACAGAAGCAAGTGGAGACGAGCAGTTGAAGCCATATATTCCACTAGGAACCCAAGGGAACAATAATAATAACGAGTGGAAACCTGGCATCATTCCGTTAAATTCATTGACTGTTGATTGGAGCTACATAGGGAAGTGTTGACTGTTGTCGACTAGTTGATATCCTCGAGATACCTGAGAACTAATGGGTTGATACTATTGGTGATGTGGCTGAAAATCGTTCCCAGTGGTGCAGATGAATTCATTCATTGTACCCTTCCAGATTTTTATTAAAAACGTATTTCTTCATGTGATGATTCGCTCTCTCTCTCTCTCTCATCCATTTTTGCTAATTATAGTTTGTTTGTTTTGTGTACGTTTTTGTGTTATATGGAGGGTGGTAACTTAAACTGGTTAACTCATATGCAAAGTGCTACGTCGATGATACGCAATCAGTGAGTGGACGACTGTAGAATATTTTGTTATGATTAATTATGTTTTGGTAAAAGGGAATTTGTCAAATCTACAGGATTACCTTGTTGAGTAATGGTAGGTGATAGGTAGGATTAAGATAGAATAGAGTTAGGAGTGATTCAATCCACACATGACATTAATCCATAAAGTCTTTGATTATATTGGTTCTAGCCAGGTAGGGAGATGTAGACTGTGTGGTTGGTGTTATCAAGGTGTTAAGAACTATTGGTTGGTTCAATGCCTACCGTTACCTGGACTTCTGTTTACTCCTGCAGTCATCTAAATTTTGCTGATAAATCTTTTTCCTTTACATTTTAAGCGTTTACTGTTTCCATGTATATTTAGTTGAAGTGTTATTTTTGTTTTCTTCGTTTTAGCCCTCCTCAGGTGTTAGTCATACCAAAGATAATGATAATTGTGTGAACCACAAGGATATTAGTAATCATTATAATAATACGCACAATAATAATAGTAATAATAACGGCCAGAAGGACACCTCCGACGATGATGAGGATGATGACGGTGTGGATCATGATGATGATGATGATAATGTTAATAATGGTGATATGGACAAGTGTGAAAAAGGCAACACTTCATATGATGTCATCTCTAAAGTAGCCGATTGCATTCCACCACATGAAATATCATCAAACGATAGCAGCTATATCCTTTTATCGAATGGTATAAATGGAAAGGCGGTTAACAATGGTACTGAAAATGACTATAGTAATGGTACTGATAGCAACAACAATAACACTGATGGTGATAATAATTAACTGTAATATGATTTTCTTTTTTGTTGTTTTGTTTTTGTTGCTGTTTATTTTGACGCTCTTGTTCCCCCCGCATCACATGCTCTTGTTTCCTCCACTTTATTCACTTATTTCACTTTCATGGGGTTCCTCCTATTTCCTTCTTGAATAGATTATTGTTTCATTCAAGTTTTCTTATATCTAACCGTCTTTTGTTCCCTGTTTTCTTCTGCTTGTCTTACTCATCACTGGTTTCAGTGTGATGTAATCAGGAATGAATGTTTTCAATAATGACGATATCATTATTCTTATGACATATTTGTTCTTCTCCTACTCCCCCGCCGCCCCCGCAACTTTGTCTTTCTATCTGTATAACACTTGTGTGTGTGTGTGTGCGTGTTCTTGAGTGTGGATTTATTTGTGTCTTTGGCCGTCTGGCTTGTTATGCCACATGTGCGTTTTTGGGTTCCTTCTCATTTCTCTTTATTTTTATTCTTTTCTCTATTCCTTTTTCCCCCTTTTCACCTTCTTTAATGTAAATATAACTGTTGTTGTTGTTTTCTTGTGATTGTTGTATCTATCTTCACTTTTCTCAGTTGAATATACACATACATATATACGCATGGGTGTGTGTGTGTGTAGGCTGCTCAAAGCGATCCTGTTAACAGACAAAAGATATATACATATATGTACTTTTGGTTTGTATTACAAGTTCATGTACACGCATGCATGCGTACACTGATAAACGCACATTAACAATGTGTACCCTTAAGACTCAGTTGGTTCTCGTATGCCAGCCAAGGGGGGATATAATGTTGTGCACAGCAGCTTTTGCGTCCAAGAACTACAACAACACTCCATGCTTTCATTGATATATTTCTGTCTATCTCTTTCTCTAAAAGTGCCTTAACAATGTATGAAATAAACAATTTCGATTATTAGAACTATTATTACACATATGTTATATATACATATATTAGCATTAAATGCAATAAATTAAGGTGTTTTGCTAAGAAAAATAAATTTTCCTTTTTTGTACTTTGATATCAAAAAAAACTTTTTTTTGTTGTTGACGGAACATGAAAAAAAACACTCATTACTACTATTATTACTATTGGGATTATTACTCTTCTATTATTATTATTATTGCTACTACTATTATTATGAATATTATTGGTAATCTATCGAATATTGAATATATATACAACAACACATAAAAATGATGTGGCCTGTATGCCTGAGTTTTCTGCCCCCCACCACCTCCTCGTTCGGTCACCATTTTGTATTTTTTTTTCCTTTATTTATTATGCGGCATTCTTTCCGCCTTTTCTAAGTTCACTGCTATTGTTCCAGTGTTATGTAATGTACACGTTGGGAGTGTGTTTGTGGATTTTCGGGATACCCAATGATTCGGCACAAACTCTGTACTCTTCAACACCTTCCTCTCTGGGAAAAAAATTAATCCAAAAACAAACATAGGCATTTGTTCAAATGTGATGAAGAGGTTTTTTTTGTAATTGTGTGTGTTTATGCGTGTGTGATTACACTTTGTTGTGTTTCTTTCTGCACAAGTTTTTTCGGGTAGGGATAAACATAAATATTGATTTCTTTTCTTTACTTTTCTCATTAAAAGTTCGTTTTTTTTTAAATTGTTCAATTGTGTGTGTGTATCTGTGGGTTTGTGAGCGTTTGTCTACGCGTCCGGGATTCACTATGAACAGACGACCGTGAAGTGTAAGAGATGGTATTTGTGCTATGATTTCACTCATACCCCTACGATCGGTCGACCAAGTGTTGTGTTTTCGTTCGTCTTCTTCTTTTCCTTTTATTTCTCAATTTCTGTTCCCCTTTTTGTTTCTTATATTATAATTATTTATATAAATTATATACATTTACACATAAACATTTGTGAAGTCAGTTGATTGTGTAATACAATTGTTTCGTTACAGTATTGCTGTGTTGTTTATTCTGTGATAACATGCGTGAAAAAGGTTAATTATGAGGACGATGAGAATTAATTATGTTCCCTTTTTTGGTTGAGCTTTTCTACTTGCATAGTTCTACATCGATAATCTTAGTTTAATCTCATCCATAATGTGCTACCATAGTGTGATTGGATGGTGGGTTATTATTGCCTTAAATGCTTGACTTTCAAATTATAGATAATACCTAGCTGCACATTAGAGAGAGAGAAAGAAAGAAAGAAGGAATAAAAAGTTCAGCGATTCCATTTTATGCAAGTTAAAATTTCAGCATCAAAGGAGTTGCAACGTACCAATCACTTGGAAAAGATGATTTTTGCGTACTTAGTGCATATATATTTATGAAGTGAATGAAAAGTGAATAAATTAGCATGAAACTCTTACAAAGGATGCCTTTCTTTGACGTGTGACAAAAATGCCTCCCAGTTTTGCACTGGAGTGTGTGTGTCAGTAGGCTAATTAAACCAAATCGTTCTATAAACACATACTCTAATGAAGTCTTCAAAAATCTTAACCTTAACCATAATCTACTTTTTAATCTAACTCTAAAGCAAAACTAGCCTTAATCTGATTCACATTAACCCTAATATCTCCTTTAATATCGGTTAACCTGTCCTTAGGCTAAATCTTAACTTAATCTTTCCCTAAGCCGACCTAAAAGTTAGTTACCAGATATCCTGTTTAATACCATAACATTTCAGTAAGCTTAATTTTATTCATGATTCTAGTTTTCATCTATCTGGTTTCACTAACTTGCATAGCAAGTAAATTGTGTAAGATTAGAGAGCGGTTGCGTAATATGTAAAATAGCTTTTTAAGGAATACGTATGGGTGTGAAAGGGATGTGCATAGAAACACAGTGAAGAAGAAAAAAGACGATAAAGAAGCCACACTGAACTGGATCCATGGTAGATGTATACAAAGGAGTAGTTTCCTTTGAACACATAACTCAGGCTTCTCGATACATATGACGACAGCTTCTATAGTACGAAGAAGTTGGATACACACTGCCTTTGGTAGATTTCTGCTCACTTTGTAAATGACTGTGAATGATGAGTCAGTGGAGATGATATGACAGGTGCTGATGAGGTGTTGAACTATAGCAATCCTGATTGGGTTAGTGTGGCGTCTTTTCTTCTGTACGGAGTTCCAACCAGTATGGAGCTTGGTTGAATTTCGCTCCACCTACTTCAGCCTTGCAGTTGTTAGGTATTATCATCTACAGTCATACAATCAGTGTGGTCTGTTACATTGACAGATATGTCGTCAATGAATAACTAACCGGATTTTCTTCTTCTGATGCGCGAAATAATCAATTACTGGTGTCATATTCTAGTTTATAGGATTTTTATATGGACGTATCACATTTCAAAGAAATACGCTGATTATCTTTGGGGAATATTAAATTACATGGGAATGAGTTTACTGGGTTAGTTTCTGAGTTTTTTGAATGTATCCATGAACTTTGTTGCACCACCAATTTGAGTGTTGATAAATATAAGATGATGTGTTCTATATTTCGAGGTTGATTTCATGGGTGTGCATTCACTGCACTGCAATCTTTGCTCCTCGTTAGATACATACAAATTACATATAGTGATGTGATGGCGTGTATCATCTCTTTTTGGGTATAAAACACCGAATGGGAAGGTTATCTGAAGTATGTCTGTCTGTCTGTTTTCGACAAAGAACTTTGCACCGATGTGCAGCAGTTCGAGTCGCCACACTCCATGTAGCACACAAAGCAAGAGAAGAAATGCATAATAGAGGCAGTAAGTTGAGGTGTGAGACAAAGGAGTAGTAATAGCGAAGAACAATATAGTTTCATTGGAAATTATAAATCACAAGGTATGGATGCATCTGCACCACTGAGAATGATTTTGAGCCATATCACCAATTGTTTCCAACCATTGGTTTTTACCATCCCGAGGACCCCAACCAGGAAGTCTACACCTTCCTAGGTGGCTTAAACTAACTGTTGTAGATTTCATTGACTGGTGCCATGTTTTGGTTTGACCGCCGCTAACTCTTTTCCAGCCTGACCCTATATCAGCTAACATTGCCCGTCGAGGAAGGCGATGACTAGGCATACGTAATACATGTCCTAACCATCTCAGTCGATGTAATTTCACAGTCTCGTCGACTGATTTCGCCGCCTTACCTAGCACTCGACGCCTAACCTCAATATTGCTCATCTTATTATACCACTTCACATGGGAGATAGAACTCAGACACCTATGATCAAACACAGCTAATCTTTTCATGTCTTCCACTCTCAATGGCCAGGTGTGACAGATATAAAGGAGGACGGAGCGGACTGTTGAGCAGTATAGGCGCCCTTTGTTCGATAGTCGGATATCACGTCTACGCCAGAAGGGGCGTAAACTGGCATATGCGAAACTATATCTGAAGTATATGTTAGATGGTTGAAGACAATCGCCTAGATTTCGTTAAAGGATCTAATATCCCTTTAGTGTCGCCCACTGAATTATTTCAGTTGTTTCCAACCTTACTATTTATGACTGTATTGAACACATTGATCGGTGACTAGGCCGTGCCTTCTACGTAGGGTCTTTTCTCTACCCCTTATTATTTGTTGTAATTTCCCATATATCCTATGTAGGTATTATTGATATAAGTATAAAACTTGTGCACTGTGGTAGAGTATAGCTCCATTGTAGATAAGATTTAATTTTGATGATAAGGTTTCACAGTGTTATACAGTAATATTAACTGATGACGTTTCGAGAACAAACTATTACCACTCATAATCATATCAAGTCACTCACACAACTTTTCATTTCATTTATATACATGAGTAAAATTGATTAGACATTTGAATAAAATCAGTATAAGATAAATTACATTTAGAAATAATATGAGTGTTATTAATGAAGTACAAGTGAAAATAATGATGATAACATAAATAAGAGAGAATATAAGGCATCTACAGTTATACCATATAAAGAGGGGACATCTGAGACCCTATGTGGGATTCTCAATAAAACAGGAATTAGAATGGCATTTAAACCTACAAACTCACTCAGCTAGGACAATCTCTGTAGGCTAAAAGACCCAGTTGACTCAATTAGACAAAATAATATAATTCACAAAATACATTGTAATGACTGTGAGCTAAGTCAACTACATAGGTCAAACTAGTAGATTGGGGGGGGGGGTAGTCAAATTGTCGGAACTTAAGAATTTAGCTAAGGTGAGAATGATTGACCCTGAGAAGATAAGTAATTTAGAAAAAAGCTCAGCACTGCACTGCATGCATTAACACACAACCACACAATAAGTCAAAATTCCAAGGAGTAATATAGGTAGGTGGAAAGAGAGATTGATTATTGAATAATAATAATAATAATAATAATAATTTGCTTTATTCCAGAAACAGTACTAGTGGTACAGTGTGGCATTTTCAGCACATATCTACAATATTTGCATCTAATTTTACAGACATTTAAAATAAGTATTAAACAAACAAAAAAGTAAATCTGAAGACACCAACAGCAAAAAAAAACAGGATAAACACAAAAATAATTATAAATGTGAAAAAGTACAGGAGTCTACCAAAGTTTAATGCAGTGTTTGTGGTGGTAATGTGCGTAATCCTGAATAATATAAAATTTTTGGAGGTGGTGACTATGGCGTTCACAACCATTGATTGTCAGTTTAATGTTGCCGAAAAGTATAGAAAATAAAGAAACAGCCACAAAAATAATATTACATGATGGTTAATGACAGGACAATTTTGTAATACTCATAGTGCTAATAGAGTCGGAACCAGTGGATAAACAATAGAAGGAATATAGTAAAGTACAAAAAAGGAAGCCAATGTTAATATTTTAGGTAGCTAAGTATGTTTGAGAAGGAGTTCACTAAAGAATACAAAATAAGAGAGAAATAAAAGAGCCTATAATTATATTGTTAATAACAGAACAAGTCATAAGTTTCACGCTTAACATTGTCTCTGTCGCTTAGAACACGGGCCGAGTATGGTATCGTTGAGTTCCTGTACTTGGTTGTACGAGCATAGATTATTTTATACTGATTTCTGGTTTTACTTGATGAGATACAAGGCGAGAGTTGGGAATAGAGGGGGTGTTGGGGGTCGGAGAGTATGGTTTTTGACCATTTTTCGCATGTATTCAGATGCCTATCAACTAAAGTAGTGACGAGCTGAATCCTTGTTCATCTAGTTTACACCTAACACATGTAACAGAAATGATTCGATGCAAATACCAGAGATATGGGAGATGTTATTGCCACCAGTAAGTCAAATCACAGGAGGATAATAAATAATCTTAAAATTCTATTTCAGTTCACGTACATTATAACATTCTAAAATGTTATTTATTTTGACAAAAAAACGTCTTATTACCCATCTGATTGTATTTGATTGATAACACTCATATTATTTCTGAATGTAATTTATCTTATACTGATTTTATTCAAATGTCTAATCAATTTCACTCATGTATATAAATGAAATGAAAAGTTGTGTGAGTGACTTGATATGATTATGAGTGGTAATAGTTTGTTCTCGAAACGTCATCAGTTAATATTACTGTATAACACTGTGAAACCTTATCATCAAAATTAAATCTTATCTACAATGGAGTTATCCTGTGTGGTTGTTGCGTCATTTTGATTCGATAAAGAGAAATCCGGTAGTTAGCCTCTTTCTCCACCTAACTATATGTCAATCTCTAATACTTTCGCATTACTGCACCCTAATATATGATTACGTGCAACTGAATGAATTGCAATGGTCGAGCTTTTTTCCAGATTACTTAATTTATCAGGGTCGATCATTCTAACTAGCCCTAAACTGTTGCCAGTATTAGGGCTGGGAGAGGGATAGAGCATATTTCAATGCAAACAGAGTCAGTCACTGTAAACAGCGCCTTCTCCACTCTCTGTCCGGATTTTTTTCTTTATTTTAATTACCCAAGCAGATCATATCCCTTGGCGTCTGCTCGAGGCCATGAAATCAGGAACATCTTATTAGGTCTCTTGCGCATTGGAGACATCCTAACATGTCTCGTGGAAACGAGATCCCACCTCCAATCCACGATGCACACAACCTCGCTTCAT